CCCTCATCTCTTCCTAGTTATTTTCCCACAGTTTACTATTATCAATGCTCTTGCATTAATTTACACCTATTGTGTCTGTGTGGTATGGTAAAATACTATAATTGCATAAGCAGGCTAAATCCAGTTGCTCTGATATCTTCACCAGCACTTGACACTGTCAGCAAGGCTTGTTTATTTAGCTATTCTAGTAAATGCATAGTAGTAGCTCATTGTAGTTTTAATTTTCACTTCCCTAATGACTAATGATGTTGAACATCTTTTATGCATTTATTTGCCAAGACTGATGCATCCAAGACTCAAGTCTAATTATGTCTCTCCCCTTTTTGTAACCCAATGGCTTCCCAGGGTAAAAGAGGGCTGTGGCCTCCATTTTGACCTCAAACTTTTTAGTTGGGGTCTTCATTCCAGCACATCTCTGGGCTCAAGCGGAAGACCCTGAGGGCAAAGCATCCCTTGATGGAAACCAAAACTACCCCTTCACGCACCAGGGACTCTCCTGAGCCGGTAAAACCCCACCCATGATTGCCGGTAAGACAGTGATCCCTTTGACCTTCTCCGCCTACCTCCCCTGACCCACCTTCCTTTGTCTGGCATTTTCCTTATACAAACATGGGAGTATTTTCAGCACTTTGGAGACAGTCTACAGTCTTTGAGATGGTAATCTTCTGTCTTCCCCAGTGTTAGCCTCCCTGAAACTCCTTTCTTGTTTCACCACCTCTTGTTTCTCTGCTTTTGGATTTTGTCAGCAAAGACTGGCTGAACCTGTTCTGTCTCTGAGCTCCCCAGGCCTGGGTTGGCCTTGATACATTTACCCCAAGCCCTGATCCCTTTGCTTCCAAAGCCTCGGGATCAGAGAGAGACAAGCTAGGATGGAAGAGAACAGCATTGGCTAATAATCAGCTGTACTGAGATTTGGCACACAAAGAAAATCTGTTGGAAGATTCAGTTATCATTTGCTAACTCTCTTTTTTAAAGATTGTATTTATTTATTTATTTGACAGAGAGAGATATCACAAGTAGGCAGACAGGCAGGCAAAGAGAGGGAGAAGCAGGCTCCCTGCTGAGCAGAGAGCCCAGATGTGGGGCTTGATGGGGGGCTTGATCCCAGGACCCTGCGACCGACCAGGACCTGAGCCAAAGGCAGAGGCTTAACCCCCTGAGCCACCCAGGAGCCCCTGCTATCACTTTTTAGAGAGGAGCCCTTGTGATGTCAGTCACTGTTTCCTAAAGACCAACAGTAGTAGCAGGTCCTGCTGGAGGGCGATCTCTGAGCAAGACCATCCATCCCCGCTGCCCCTCTTCCTGGTTCTGGACTCCTCCCTCTGTGCCACCTGTTCTTCCAACAACTAGGATACTCCTGCCCTCAACCAAGTCTAAATCCTCTGGCCATTGGTATTACAACAACCCTGAAAACCACCCTACAGACACTCTAGGAAGATAGATCTACAGAATGGTTAGGGGTATGGTTTTGCAGGTAGTCTTAAACTCAATCTCAGTTCTGCCTTTTATTTTATTTTATTTTATTTTATTTTTTAAAAGATTTTATTTTGATAGAGATCACAAGTAGGCATAGAGGCAGGCAGAGAGAGAGGGAGGGAAGCAGATTCCCCACTGAGCAGAGAGCCCGATGCTGGGCTGGATCCCAGGACCCTGGGATCATGACCCGAACTGAAGAGAGAGGCTCTAACCCACTGAGCCACCCAGGCGCCCCCATTTCTGCCTTTTATTAGCCATGTGACCTTGGCCAAGTTACGTAACCAAGGTGAAGCTGTCATTTCTGCTTAATAGAGAGCAGAAAGACTATTTTGGAATTAGAGATTATGTCTTTAGCATGCTGTTAGCCCTTAACAAATGCTAAATAAATGGTAGATGGTTATCTAACTTCTACTAATACACAAATACATAGAAGCAAAGCTTTTCAAGCTTTTTTCTTGGGAGAAAATTGATACTGTAAGTATGACGTTTCTTTTGGTATTTATTTATTTACTAAGATTTTTTTAAAGATTTTTATTTATTTATTTGACAGAAAGAGAAAGAGAGAGAGAGATCACAAGTAGGCAGGCAGAGAGGGAGGGGGAAGCAGGCTCCCTGCTGAGCAGAGAGCCTGATGCAGGGCTCCATCCCAGGACCCTGAGATCATGAACTGAGCCGAAGACAGAGGCTTAACCCACTGAACCACCCAGTTCCCCCTAAGATTTTATTTTTGTAACCTCTATGATAGTCATTGGGTGTCTGCCTTTGGCTCAGGTCGTGGTCCCCGGGTCCTGGGAGGAGGGAGCCTGATGCAGGGCTTGATCCCAGGACCCTGGAAGGTCCTGGAAGGGAGTTGCCCAACCAATGAGCCACCCAGGCACCCCGCAACACGGCAAATGTAAAGCTAAAACAAGAAATTTCAGGGGTGTCTGCCTGGCTCAGTCAGTAGAGCATGTGATTCTTGATATCAACGTCATGAGTTTAAGCCCCATGATGGACACAGAGTTTACATGTAAAAAAAAAAATTTTTAACCTAGGTCCAGTAGGCATAGCAATCCCAGAGTGTGGCACACACTCAGTCTTTGTGCCCAAACTCTGACTCACCTTCATTCCGATCTCTTCTGAACCTGTAGAAACCAAACTGCTTCACCTTCCTGAACAGCCTATGTTCTTTACTGCTTACCAACTCCAGCAGTCCTCTACTATACAGGGAGGATCCCTCTAGTCCCTTGGTTTTAAATATACCATCTATATACTGATGACATTCCCCAACATGTATCTCCAACCCCAACATTCCCCCTGATCTTCAGGCTCACAAGTCTTAACTGGCTAAGAGGAAGCTCTGCTTAAAGGATCAGAAGCAGAACTCTCGATTTCCCATTGCTCGCCTCTCAGAAAATGGTTCTACCAGCCATACCACTGCTCATGCCAAAATTTTGACTTTTTTTTCTCTTGTTCCTAACTTCCTACCCTTGCTTTAGCAAATTCTGTTGACCTAGCATTTCTCTCCAGCTACATCCACCACTACATTTATCAAGGCACCATCATCTCCTCTGGGACCATTCCCACACCTTCCTCCCTGCTCCCACTTTGATCCCCTATGCTTCCTTCTCCACTGAGTCATCAGGATAAGCCTCTAAGAACTAGAATCATATCAGAGCATTCCTCTACTTAAAACCCATCAATGGGGGCACCTGGGTGGCTCAGTGGGTTAAGCCTCTGCCTTCGGCTCAGGTCATGATCTCAGGGTCCTGGGATCGAGCCCCACATCGGGCTCTCTGCTCAGCGGGGAGCCTGCTTCTCTCTCTCTCTCTCTGCCTGCCTCTCTGTCTACTTGTGATCTCTCTCTCTCTGTCAAATAAATAAATAAAATCTTTAAAAAAAACAAAGATTTTATTTATTTATTTGACAGACAGAGATCACAAGTAGGCAGAGAAGCAGGCAGAGAGAGATAGGAGGAAACAGACTCTCTGCTGAGCATTGAGAGCCCGATGCAGGGCTCGATCCCAGGACCTGGGATCATGACCTCAGCCGAAGGCAGAGGCTTTAACCCACTGAGCCACCCAGGCGCCCCAAATAAAATCTTAAAAAAACAAAAACAAAAACATAACCATCAATGGCTTCCCATCCCACTCAGAGTAGAACACAAAGTTGTCTCCATAGCCAATGAAATTCCATGCACTAATACCTGTGTGAGGCATTTTCTTTGCATAATCAACACAATATCTCATAATAGCTTGAAAACCGAAGCAGATGTGAGAATCCACCTGTATTCTATTAAGCCAGACATTAAAGAAATTTGGGGAAATATAAAAAATTGCTACTAATTATCACTACATTTTTTTGTTTTGAAAATATATTTTCCCCAAAAATGATATGTTGCTTAATTTTAATTTCTATGCAATATAGTGTGGCTTGGAGGGTATCTTGAAAAGATGGGATCTCAAGCCAAGGTCAATATGGCCCACAGGGCTAAAGTACAAGGATGAAAGGTTGATTAATGTCCTTATTTCTGGTTAGGTCTCATTGGAGGGCTTGGCTGCAGGACAATGCGAAGATACTTAGTGTGGTGGGTGAAGGGGTGAAAAGGGGTGAAGTGCACTGAGTTACCCCTATGGAAACCCTGTCAACACACTGCCCTGGTCAGAGAAGAGACAGGTAACAGTAACTCCCAATTAATACCCCTTCTTCTGCTGGTTACCTAGGTACCCTCAAAAGATTTATTCAGAAGCAATCACACTCAAAGGGGGGAAAAAAAAAAAAGAAAAACCCCCAAAACAAAAACAAAAACCATGTTACCATGTTCTTGGAGCTTAGTCGGTGGAGCCTATGATCCTTGGTCTCAGGGTCCTGAGTAAACGTTCCATGTTGGACATCGAGTCTACTTTTTTAAAAAAGTGGCGGGGGGTGTAACCACACTCTTTATTCTCCTATTTTCCTGTGCTGGTAAATTTTAAGGCCATGCCCCCACTCCCTCCCTTCCATCAGCACCTCCAAGGCCCCTGCAGACACGGAGAAGGGCACCCTAATCTCTTCATTGTAAATTGACTACAGGAATTAGGCTAAGGGCGGTATGATCAGGTGAAAGGACACCACCATTTCTGACCCAGGGGTCTGGAGCCATCAAATTAGGGTTTTGGGGTTCTCTCTTTCCCAGCCACCCTGAGCACAACACCTTGCAGAGCTGCGGGCCTCGAGCCCAAGCCAGAAGACTTTGCGCTCATCTCCATAGAGCCGCTCCCCGCCCTCCTACCGCCGCAGGTAGATGAAGCTCAGCCAATCACGAGGTCTCTGGGGTAAAGAAGGCGGGACGACGAGGAAAAGTTTAGGACAGGAGCGCTAACCAATCCTGCGCCTAGCTTCCGGAGTAACGGCCACCGGCACCCACTTGCAGACGCCGCTCAGAGCTGGGGGATGGTTAGTGGACAGTGAACCAATCCGTGCCGAGGGGAGGCCAATTTTAGCCAATTAAAATTAAGGAGGTGGGAGGGGGTGGAGCTCGCCGGTGGTTTCTCGCTGGTGGGTGAGGGATCGGCTTTCTCTGCTAGTTCCCACCCTAGGACTTCTTAGCCCCTGGAAGGCGAGAGAGAGAGAGGCTCAGGGGAGTTCTTGGAGTGGGGCGTAGAGGTACCTCCCGGGAAGGCCTGGAAGCAAAAGAGACTCCTAGTTGGGGAAGCTGCTGGAAGCCACTGGGTGGGCATCGAGGAAGCGTAGGCTGGTTAGGGGGCGGGACTTCCGGGGCGTGGTTTTATGAGCGGGGGCGGGGCCTGCTGCTAAGGTTGAGCCGAAGGGGCGGGGCTAAAGGATCACTGGGTGTGACCTAGGAGAAAGAAGGGTAGTAGTTTCAGCGGGCGTTTTGGGGCCAGGACGGTGTTGCCAGAGGCTTTGGGGCGGCAGGTGAAATCTCAGGCTGAGGTGAAGGTTGCTGGGGAGGTTAGCTGCCCTAACCTACTGTCCTCTCTTCCCAGGGAGCCACTGGTGGGGCCCTTCCTAGGGTCCTTTTCCCTTCGTGGGGTGCTATGGAGTTCCCAGAACACAGCCAGCAGCTGTTGCAGAGCCTGCGAGAGCAGCGGTCCCAGGGTTTCCTCTGTGACTGCACCGTAATGGTGGGTAGCACCCAGTTCCTGGCCCATCGGGCTGTGCTGGCCTCCTGCAGCCCGTTCTTCCAGCTTTTCTACAAAGAGCGGGAGCTGGACAAGAGGGATCTGGTGTGCATCCACAATGAGATTGTCACGGCCCCAGCGTTTGGGCTGCTTCTGGACTTCATGTATGCTGGCCAGCTGGTCCTGAGGGGGGATACCCCTGTGGAGGATGTGCTGGCGGCTGCCAGCTACTTGCACATGAATGACATCGTTAAAGTGTGTAAGCGGCGGCTGCAAGCCCGGGCCCTGGCTGAGGCAGACAGTACCAAGAAGGAGGAGGAAACCAACTCACAGCCCCCTAGTTTGGAGTTTTTGCCCTCTTCCCGTGGCCCCCAGCCTTCGTTGGCATCTGCCGAGACATCAGGCCACTGGGGCAAAGGGGAATGGAAAGGCCCTGCAGCTCCCTCACCGACAGTCTGTCCTCCAGATGAGCCACCAATGCCCGGGGGGGCTGACACGACCCAGCCTGGCGTGGAGGTCGACTCCCCACATCTCCGGGCACCTCCTGCACCAGTGGCTGATGTCTCCCTCGCCAGCCCCAGTAGCTCCACAGAGACTATTCCTGCAAACTACTTGTCTTCAGGCCTTCCAACAGTTTCGGCAGAGCCTCTGGCTCCCCTTGATGTGGGTACTGAGAGTCTGAGGATGGTGGAACCAAGGGGTGCTGGGGGAACACTGCAAGGCTTCTATCCTCCTGCTCCAGCAGCTGCCCTGGTCCCAGTCCCGGTTCCATCGCAGGCTCCAGCGCCCGCGGAAGCTGAGCTGGTCCAGGTGAAAGTAGAAGCTATTGTGATTTCTGACGAGGAGCCCGATGTGTCCGAGGAACAGCGTCAGGGGCCCGAGGGACTGTTCCCGCCCGGGGGAGCAATGTATGGTGGACAGCCCCCTCAGCCAGAGGCTTTTGAGGAGCCACGAGCAGCCGGACTGGAGGAGGTGGGACCAAGTGACCACTTCCTGCCCCCAGATCCTCACCTACCCTACCATTTGCTGCCAGGGCCAGGGCAGTATCCCCGAGGACTGGTGACATCGCCCTTGCCTGCGCCCGCGGCCCTGCATGAGCCACTTTACCTGCCTTCTGAGTATGAAGCAACCCCGGGAAGTTTTGGGGTTTTTACCGAGGACGTGCCCACTTGCAAGACATGTGGGAAGACCTTCTCATGTTCTTACACACTAAGGCGACACGCCACGGTGCACACACGCGAGCGACCCTACGAGTGCCGCTACTGTCTGCGCAGCTACACCCAGTCAGGGGACCTCTACCGACACATCCGCAAGGCTCACAATGAGGACCTGGCCAAACGCAGCAAGCCGGATCCAGAGGCTGGCCCCCTCCTAGGAGTGCAGCCCCTCCACGGGTCCCCGACAGCAGACAAGCAGAACGGCGGTGGCGGTGGCGGGGGGCCACCTAAAGATTTTGTACTCGGCCCCAAAAACTGACACCTGCGGGAGCATCATGAGCCGATGCTAGGCCTGCTCTTGCCATCATTAGGGGGCAGCAGAGACTGGAAGCTTTTTCTTTTCCCCTGCTGTGGGAACAGAATGAACCCCTTGGCAGGCGGGAGATTTCCCACCGGTTTTTCTTTACCCAGCCAGACAGCAGGACTTTTCTGGAGCGGGTGCATCTCGGTCAGCTCCTCTCCAAGGGCTCTGGGAATTTTTCTGAGCTGTAATTGCTTCCCACCCTGCCTTCTGGACCATAAAGCTAGCAGTGAAAGCTTCTCTTTGGACCGGTGTCGGCTGGTTTATTCCACAAACCTGCGTGCCTCCTGATTCTTTCATACTTTTCCTGCCAATCTTTTAGGAAGCTCACATCTGTACCTGGGGTAGGGTTCAAGGTCAGGTTGCTTTTGAGGGGAAAAAGTGGGAGAGGCAGAGGGCAATATGGATTTGGCTTAGGACAAGTGTACTAATGAGGGAATCGTACCCAGTGATGGTTTATCGTTGTAGTTGAGCTCCCGTATCCTGGGCTGTACTGAAGACTTCATAAAAATCCTTAATTCCCAACAACTTTATGAGGTATTAGCACTCCTCTCCCCTTTCCTTTTTCCACGGGCAAGGAAACGTGAGACCCAAAAATCAGGTTAACCTACTGCGGGTTAACCAGGGCGAGTTAAGGGGCAAACCAGAGTTTGAGTCATGGGCTTCAAACACCATGCCCACTGTGCTGGGTTAGAACGTTGTTGAGAAAACCAGCAGTTTTCTCGTTCATCCTCATGAGTGTTTGGCTTTGCTCCCTTACCCCTTCGCCTCTGCTTCCATTATAGAAAGTCTGTGGGTGACTGTTTCAGCAACAGACACTGTTACCGATGACATGAAATCGTTGCCTGTGTGTCCTGATGTGGGTTGAGGTCCCTGAAGATGAACCCAAAGGCAGAAAAAAACACGAAGCTCTGGCGTGATGGGTTTTGCGGGGAGGAGGAGGAAGGCCTGTGGTATGGGAAAGATGGGGGCTTGGGAAAAATGAAAGCGAGGAACTCCAGATAACACAATCTTAAAGTTCCTTTAGTCCAACTCCCTCACCTGAAAGGCATGAGGAAGGCCTCGAGAAGTCAGATTACTCAGTTGTGGTCGCACAGTGGTTACTGGCAGTAGAGACCCCAGAGAAATAGGGGTCTCGGGTGTTGAGGTGGGTTCTGGGAGCTCTGGGCCCGTAGCAGAAGGGGCCTGCTTTTCTGTTCTCTGTGAACAGTGGTGCCATAGGGTAGGAGGGCTCCCGAAAAACCCTTCTCGATTCTGCACATAAGGAATTGGGTGCAAAAAAAGCAACAAGGAAGAGTTGGAGAAGATGAAAATGAGTCACTCTTCTGAATTTATTTTCTCTCTTTTTGTATTTATCTGTCCTCCTCTGCATTGTAAGCTCTTGCCGGCAAGCTTCTGTTTCTGAGTTAGAGGAAGGCGGATTAAACATCAGAGTTTTGGCCAAAGGAAACTCCATATCTGGGGCATTGAGGGAAGCAAACCATTGATGCTTAACATTTTCACAGCTGAATGAATTCTATGCCTTTCACTTCCTTGTGTTGGAATAACCTTTTAGTTTGTCTTCCAAATGGCTAATTTTATTTGTGCAAATATATATTCCCACTCTAATTCCTTGGCATCAGTAACAAGGCAAGACATACATACACACGATGAGTTCTAGCTGAGTGGAGCACCTTTTCCAACGTCTTGCCTAGAGTAACTATCGGTTGCCTAAAAACAATCAGTTGCCTTTATTTTTATTTTTTTTTAAAGATTTTATTTATTTATTTGACAGAGAGAGATCACAAGTAGAGAGAGAGAGGGAAGCAGGCTCCCCGCTGAGCAGAGAGCCCGATGCGGGACTCGATCCCAGGACCCTGAGATCATGACCTGAGCCGAAGGCATCGGCTTAACCCACTGAGCCACCCAGGCGCCCAATCATTTGTCTTTAAAAGGGTGAATTTTGGCCACCTGGGTGGTTCAGTCAGTTAAGCATCTGCCCTCCGTTCAGGTCATGATCCCAAGGTGCTCGGGTTGAGCCCTGCATTGGGCTCCCTGCTCAGCGGGGGAGTCTGCTTCTCCCTCTGCCCCTCCTCCACTTGGGTTCTTGAACGTGCTCTCTCTTTCCCTTTTTCTCTCAAAATTTTTATTTTTTATTCATTTTTTTAAAGATTTATTTATTTATTTATTGGACAGCGAGAGAGACAGCAAGAGAGGGAACACAAGCCCGGGGAGGAGGAGAGGGAGAGGCAGGCTCCCTGCTCAGCAGGGAGCCTGATGCCGGGGCTTGATCCCAAGACTCTGGGATCATGACCTGAGCCACCCAGGCGCCCCTCAAACAAAATTTTTAAATAAAAGGATAAATTTTATGATATGTGAATTGTATAATAATTACATATGTGGAAAGAAAGAGGGGTGCCTGGGTGGCTCAATTGGTTAAGCAGCTGCCTTCTGCTTAGGTCATGATCCCAGGGTCCTGGGATGGAGCCCCACATTGGCCTCCTTGCTCCTCGCTCAGCAGGGAGCCTGCTTCTCCCTCTCTGCCTGCCTGCTGTTCCCCCTGCTTGTGCTCTCTCTGTGTCAAATAAATAAAATCTTAAAAAAAGAGGCGCCTTGGGGCGCCTGGGCGGCTCAGTGGGTTAAAGCCTCTGCCTTTGGCTCAGGTCATGATCCCAGGGTCCTGGGATCGAGTCTCTCTGCCTGCTTATGATCTCTGTCAAATAAATAAATAAAATCTTAAAAAAAAAAAAAAAAGAGGCGCCTAGGTGGCTCAGTTGGTTAAGCAGCTGCCTTCAGCTCGGGTCATGATCCCATAGTCCTGGGATCGAGCCCCACATCAGGCTGTCTGCTCGGTGGGGAGCCTGCTTCCCCCTCTCTCTCTCTGCCTGTCTCTCTGCCTGTCTCTCTGCCTACTTGTGATCTCTGTCTGTCAAATAAATAAATAAAATCTTTTTAAAAAAATCTTTTAAAAAAGGGGGGTGGGGAGAAAAAATAAAATCGGTTGCCTCAGAACATCCAGTTCCTAAAAGCAAGACATAATATGGTGTCTACATGTATATATCATGCATACTATTTCTCTAGACAGTCTGGAAAACAGTAACCATTGTTACAGTCTTGGCCATGTGTAACACCTAAAGAGGATCTGTTGCTTGGTGTGGTTCTCCTCCAGAGCCAGCATTTGCTTTCAGTTTCCAGCATGAGATGCCAATTTCCCTGGCAGTGGAAATTAGGAATCTGCGAGCTGTTGGAGGCAGCCAACAGCCAACACGAAAGGCCACAGTTGTCTCACTGTATATGCTGGTCGCCAGGAACAGTCTCCACCGGTCTATAGAGGTGTGAGCTATAGAGAATTTTCTCATTTCCGGGGTTCTCAATGGTCTCCTCCGTGAATTCAAGGAACCACAGGTGAGCTCATCCAACCCCTAGTCCAACATTGGCTCCTCCTATTGCCAGTGTGAAACCCCTCCTTGAAGAAGAACCTGGGGTGCCTGGCTGGTTCAGTCGGTGGAGCTTGTGACTCTTGACCTTGGGGTCATGACTTCAAGCCCTACATTGTGTATAGAGATTAAATAAATAATCATAAAAAACAGAACTCATTATTCCCAGAGGAAACATAGTCTATCGCTGGACAGTCCTAATTTTTGGATAACACTGCATTTTACCGAGCCAGAATCAGCCTCCTTTTATGAGGGTAAGGGTCAGGCTCCAGCCTACCAAGAGTTTCACCCTGAAATTTTATTTTTGAGCTATAAGCAGATTTAGTTTTCAGACAACCACCTTTTGCTCTCCAGCTTTAGAGATACAATTCTTTTAAGATTTTTAATTTTAAGTAATCTCTACGCTCAGTGTGGGGTTCGAACTTACAACCCCAAGATCCAGAGCTGCACACCATACTGACTGAGCCAGCCAGGTGACTCTAGAGCTTTAATTCTAATTTAGGATTTTAATTCTTTTCTTTCTTTCTTTTTAAAAAGATTTTATTCATTTATTTGAGAGAGAGAGAGAGAGAGTGAGAGAGAGCATGAGAGGGGAGAAGGTCAGAGAGAGAAAGAGACTCCCCATGGAGCTGGGAGCCCGATACAGGACTTAATCCCAGGCCTCCAGGATCATGACCTGAGCCGAAGGCAGTAGCTTAACCAACTCAGCCACCCAGGTGCCCCTCTTTTTTTTTTTTTTTTAAATTTAAAATCTTTTCTTAACTGGCAGTTTTATAAGAGTATGATTTCATTTGCTGCCTATTGTGTCTTCAATCACCAGACACTTGGCCAGACTTAGCTTCACAAAAGTCATCATTTCAGTCCTTTGCTTTGATTTCCATTTTATTTATCTATTTTGTCTTGCTTTAGAGAAGAGTGTGTGTGCATCTGCACAAGGCTGGGGATTGGGTGTGGGTGGGGGAAAGGGGCAGAGGGAGAGGGAGAATCTCAAGCAGGTTCCACGTCCAGTGTAAAGTCCAATGTGGGGCTCTATCTCAGGACCCCAAGATCATGACCTGGGCCAAAATCAAGAGTCAGATGCTTAACCAATTGAACCACCCAGGCATCCCAACTATTTATTTTTTTAAATGATCTCTCTGCCCAACATGGAGCTCAAACTCGGAGATAAGTTTTGTGCTTGACTGACTGAGCCACCCAGGCGCCCCTGAATTTCAATTTTAATGTCACCAAAGCCAGTGTTTCCAAAGATTATTTACCTGGAGATATACTATTTTTATTGTAAAATATATTTACTTTACTGGGTTTTGTTTTGTTTTGGCAAATGATATGAAATCTTCCAAAGTCCCCTACCCAATTATCAGTAAATGATTTTGGCATGCACCTCTAAAGGAATTCTTAATATATTTATTTTTAAGATTTTATTCATTTATTTGAGAGAGAGAAAGTGACTGAGAGAGAGTCCAAGCCAGGGGTTAGAGGCAGAGGAAGAGGGAGAAGCAAACTCCCCACTGAGCAGGGAGCCTGATGTGGGGCTCCATCCAGGACCCTGGGATCGTGACCTGAGCCAAAGGCAGCTGCTTCAAGACAGGCACTCCTAAAAGAACTCTTAAAAAACAACAACAACAACAGCAACAACAACCAGGGGCGCGTGGGTGGCTCAGTGGGCTAAGCCTCTGCCTTGGGCTCAGGTCATGATCCCAGGGTCCTGGGATCGAGCCCCGCATCAGGCTTTCCACTCAGTGGGGAGCCTGCTTCCCCTCTCTCTCTGCCTGGCTCTTTGCCTACTTGTGATCTCTGTCTGTCAAATAAATAAATAAAATCTTAAAAAAAAACAAATACTGAATACCATAGTCACACTCAACAAAACTGGCAAAAATCCTTTTCTCCACCCCAACAATTCTGGTTCAAATTTATCTCATAAACTTATTTATTCTTAAGATCTTCTTTTAAAGATTTTTAAAGATTTTCTTTTTTTTATTAAGAGATTTTATTATTTTTTTGACAGAGAGAGAGCATGCGCAACGGGGAGGGGCAGAGGGGAGAAGCAGACTTGCCCTTGACCAAGGAGCCCAATGTGGGACTTGATCCCAGGGCCCCAGGATCATGACCTGAGCCTAAGGCAGATGCTTAACAGACTGAGCCACCCAGGTGCCCCTAAAGATTTTATTTATTTTTAAAGATTTTATTTATTTATTTATTTGAGAGAGAATGAGTGAGAGAGAGCATGAGGGAGGAGAAGGTCAGAGGGAGAAGCAGACTCCCCAAAGAGCTGGGAGCCGGATGCAGGACTTGATCCTGGAAGTCCAGGATCATGACCTGAGCCGAAGGCAGTCGCTCAACCAACTGAGCCACCCAGGTGCCCTAAAGATTTTATTTGTAAGTAATCTCTATACCCAGGATGGGGCTTGAACCCACAATCCTGAGATCTAGAGTCATACTCTAACTAGCCAGCCAGGCACCCTTATCTCAAACTTTCAGTTGTTTTGGTTTTTTTTTTAATAGAAGATTTCATTTATTTATTAGAGAGAGAAAGAACAGCACACGCACACAAGCGGGGGGAGGGGCACAGGGAGTGGGAGAAGCAGGCTCCCCCCTAAACAGGGAGCCAGACGTGGGACTAGATCCCAGGACCCTGAGATCATAACCTGAGCTGAAGTCAGAGGCTTAACCAACCCAAGTGCCCCTCAGTTGTTTTGTTTTCAAATCAGAATCCAAATCCAGAATTCAAATCAGAATCAGTCACATTTGTTTGGTGTCTTAAGCCTTTTTTAATCTATAAGTTCTTCTCTCCTTTTCCCTGCATTTAAAAAAAAGATTTTATTTATTTATTGATAGAGAGCATGAATGCAAGCAGTGGGGGTGGGGGATGGTGTGGAGGGCTGAAGCAGAGAGAGAATCTCAAGCAGACTCCCCACTGAGTGTAGAGCCTGACTTGGGGCTTGATTGCACAACCCTGAGATCATAACCTGAGCTGAACTCAAAAGTCAGATGCTTACCTGACTGAGCCACCCAGGTGCCCCTCCTGCAATCTATTTATTGAGGAAACTAGGTTGTTTGTCTTATAGTTTCACAGTTCACAGTTTGTGGATTATATCCTCATGATATCATTTAACATGTTCCTCTGTCCAAAAGGTCCTTTGAAAATAATAGTGTAGGGGTGCTTGGGTGACTTAGTGGGTTAAAGCCTCTGCCTTCAGCTTGGGTCATGGTCCCAGGATCCTGGGATTAAGCTCCACATTGGGCTTTCCGCTCAGCGGGGAGCCTGCTTCCCTCTCTCTCTGCCAGCCTCTCTGCCTTACTTGTGATCTCTGTCAAATAAATAAAATCTTTAAAAAAAGAAAGAAAATAATAACGTAGGTAGTATGTGGTTTTGGCAAAACTGTAAAGGTGGTGGGCAGGAGTTGGGAAGACACTGGTCTAAATTGTCCCTTCTTTGCCCAAGGACGTACCTTTACATCCACAATGCTTTCCCGTCAATCAAACCCTGAAATTCTGCATGGAATTCGTTAAGGATAAGTACGGTGAGCTGCCTCCCCCACCACAAACTTCTGAGTACAGAGATTGAGGTGCCCTCTGGGATTCCTTCAGGATGTGGGCTGGCTGGATCTCCCCTAGACCCACAGGTGACTGCCTATCTCTGACAAATTTCTTGTTCATTAACATCTCCATTAGAAGCCGGTCTTCGAAAGAAAGACTGAAATGTAAGCCTGACCACTTGGTCTCTTTGCAGTGCTAATAAAAGGATTAGTGCAACAAATTTATTTTTTTAAAAGATTTTATTTATTTATTTGACAGACAGAGATCACAAGTAGGCAGAGAAGCAGGCGGTGGATGGGTGGGGAAGCAGTCTCCCCACCGAGCAGAGAGCTTGATGCGGGGCTCGATCCCAGAATCCTGGGATCATGACCTGAGCCGAAGGCAGAGGCTTTAACCCACTGAGCCACCCAGGCACCCCTAGTGCAATAAATTTGTAAAATAGGTTTTTAAATACCAGTTTTATTTTTTTCCTCATTGATGCAGAAGATAGCTTAGTGTAACATCCAGTCTTTGGAAGAAAAAAAAAAAAAAGAAAAAAGAAGATCAGAAAGCAAAACTTGCTCAAAGCAAACATGCAACCATGACATAATTTTGCCAATAACCTAGGCTTAGAAACTTAAGCATTTTGGAAAAGGAATGAAATACTCTATTTCTGTTAGTTCTGTCCTTGGACTTACAAGATTATTTGGTAGAAAACCTTTTTATTGTAAGTTCTGTTATTTAAGGGTAGGGGGAGACACAAAGAGGAGCCTGACTCTTTGGGGGTGGGGGGACATTACTGATGAAGGGAGAATTCACGCATACTTAGCAAGACTAAGGGTTTGGGGGTTTTTTGGTTGTTCTTTCTGGAATCTGTTAGGTGATGGCTAGTGACGCACGCTTACTACCTCCACTCATGAAGGTCGAGGCAGTGTTACATGATCTCATCTACTCTGTAGAACTCAAATCTTGTGGACATTATTCCTAACAAGTACACAGAATGACAAAGGAGCTTGTGGTTGATGGAGCCTCCTATTGAGATGACCACACCAGATCTGCAGCCTGCACTGACAAAGCTTCTAGAAAGTTCTATGGGGGTGCTTCAGCACTAGGGAAGGAGAACCCTTCCTTATTATTTCCCTCCTCTGTAAGGAACTGAGCTCTTGCTAAATATGAGGTGACACATGAAGAAAAGATTTAATTTTTTTATCCTGCTTTCATGGTATTGTTTCAAGACAACACGGCAATCTATTTTTCCTATTTTCTTTTCCTTAGAGAAAGGAGCATACTATACATATGCACCTATTAAAAATTAAAACGTTTACTTGGGGTATTTTTTTTTTTTTGGCACAACAGCTAAAGAACTATTAAATACTTAAATGCCTGACTCAAGGTTTTAAGATAGAAGAGTTTAATGAAAAAATAAATAAGTATATTGTATGAATGTTCTGAGTATGAACAATAGCAGGAGCTAGAAATTATTACCAGAAAAAATAGAAACCAGATCCTTTCACGGGGGGACAAAGAATCTGAATGTACATGGAATATTAAGAAAAAGGATTTGGTTTAATCAAAATGTTTAATTTCAAATCTTTCCATTTTAAGTCATGTGGGTCCAATTTATAATTGTTTTCACATAAAAATATGTTTCCCAGTCTGCAGTCTGTGTGACTTTGGCGCTGGACCTCTGAGAAACAGAGAAAAAAACTCTTTTGTCATTCTTTCATCCTTTACTAGCTTTCTCCTTGGTACGTGAATACATGTAACAACATCTACCATTAAAATCTGTGCCACAGAGAGGATTAATCACACCTATAGGTGACTGTATTCTCAAGGCAAATATCCCCAAGAATCATGTATGGAAAGGTATACAAATGCAGATGGGCAGACCCAAGAAACAAAGCATAACACAACACAACAACAAAAGAAAACCAGACTGCGTAAGTGCCAAGGAGTTTGGGCAGGGCTGGAAACAAAACAGAAATCCACCTGGGTCAGAGAGGTATGGGGTTAATTTCTCTTGCTGAGGCTCAGGTTTCCCCCGGATGGGTCTTTAACTTTCAAGTTCAAGTGGAGGAGCATCTTTCTTCTTTGTTAACCAAACATGCCCAGGTAGAGCTGTCTCTCCTTCTGATGGTAGCTACTGAGTTCCGACTGTGTTAGCTGGAGGTACCGTCGGACATTGGCATCTTAGGAGAGGGCAAAGAAGGCAGTTAGAGGCAGTTAGAACACAATCACACTTTGGGGCAGGAAAGGATTGTTCACATACTTCGTTTGTTTGTTTACAACTTTTTCTATAGAATCAGGTATTTTCTTTTTAGCCATGGCCGAAATTAATACATGAGCCCTTTAAAATGTTCAAAGCAAAACATACTGATTATAAATACTTAGAGAAAATACCAAGTTACTGTTACTGGCTTCTGCAAGCTAGCATTTGACCCCCACTTTTGGGATGAGGTTATTTTACAGAAACAGGTCAGAGACAACCCCAAATGACATCCCGAATGAATGATATAAACCAGCACTGTTACTTCAAATCAAGATTCCAAGTCTTTCAAAGGACTTACTATAGAAGGTAGGTTTGAGGAGGTCCAGATTTCTGAAACTGGAAAGAATCATTTGGGTTTACTTAGTATTATACTGGAACAAATTTTTTTTTTTTTGGAGGGGTGTGTTTGTGTGTGTGTTTGTGTGTGTGCACGCGTAAGTAGCAGAATAAACATATTCTCTGGGAGAATAAGTTTGTTCTGATCTACAAAGTATGCACAGAATTTTCTACTCTCTAGAGCCCAGGAAGCTTCCTGTGAAGAAACACACATAATGATGGGTATCAGACTTTAGCTGCTACTTTAACCCTTCTTCGTTGAGGCTTCTTCATTACCTGTAGTCGTGGGGTTTGTCCTGCCAGTCTTCAGGTCGATTTCTGGGGTATTTAGGATGATTTGATGATTATCTAGTTTGATTTGTGGGATGAGGTGAGCCTAGGGTCCCCCTACTCCGCTGCTATCCCCCCCACATACTTGTTTTTAAAAATCTTTCTAAGATCTGAATATATTATAACTATTCCTTGTAATAGTAAATCTCACTCATTAATACCACTGCGAATTTTTAAAAAATTTCTGTACAGGAAGAAAAATCTCTGTACAGTCAGGGCTGGCTGGTTTTTAACTTGATAAAGGAAAAGAGTTTGAAGAAAGAGCTGTTGTCACAACTACAGAGACTCTAAAAATGCTTATACGTGGCTGGCAGTTCACTTATGTACTTGAAGGTAAGAAACACGAACAAACGCGTCACGATTTAGGTCTTTATTCACACTAGCTTTCCCGTTAATTTGTTCTATGATTATTATATTTTATATTTAGATTATATTTTTAAGTAATCTCTACACCGAACGTGGTGCTCCAACGTACAACCCCAAGGTCAAGAGTTATAGGCTCCACTGACTGAGCCAGCCAGGCGCCGCCCCCCACCCCTATTCATTCAGACAGTCTTTGCTACATTGTTATGCTTGGGGACCCTCTGCTTCTAACATCTCCTAGTTGCTCTAAGCCAGAATGCAAAACCGGAGACAATTTTCAGTGCTGAACCACCAGCACAGGAATGAGTCTATAACCCACTTCACGATTTCCTTGCTTCCGAAACAAAGAACCAAGTCCCAAATTCTCTCTCAGCAGGCCTGCCCTTTTTCTAGGTCATACCTGGGCCTTGCTGAGCTAAAGGATAAAGTGACAGCTAAAGCAAAGGCCAGACCCAGCCGGGGAGCTGGCAGAAATGAGGATCTTCAGGCCTATTCCCTGGAATCTAAGTCCTGTTTTATTTACAACCTCGGAACTGAAACTTGAAAGACAATGCTTATTTAAAATCTCTTTGAGGGAAGGCGGGGACATTCTAGATATGCCTATTGAAGCATAAACACTTCTAGAGGGTATACAATACTGCTTTCCCTTGGAGGCAAGAATGCAAGGATAGAAGGCCAGTTTATCAAGCACCTCTTTCTACTTTTTGAATTTTGAACTACGGGTGTGAATGTATTATTGCCTAGGCAAAAACATTTAATAAACTGAAAAAGTCAAATAAAATACTCCCCACTCCCCAGCAGATACCACCTCCGCAGTGCAATCTTATCTGTTCTTACCACTTCCATCCCCTTCTCTCACCTTTTGGCTGCCTGTTGACAGCAGCCAGGAGGTACTGCTGAGCCTGGTCGTAGTCCTGCAGATGGAAAAAGGCCACTCCAGCCCGATACAAGGCCTTGGCATTATCGGGTTGTCGTTCCAGGACTTTCTGACTGTATTCTTTCACTCGTTCATAGTTCACTGGCTCCATCTGAAGGAGACAGGCTAACAGGCCAAATGAAAGGAAAACAGAAGAGGGAGGGGGGGCTTACTACACTTAGTTCCACGGGCCAACCAGAGGCAGCACCAGAGGACAATACCCACAGAATTCACTCATCTAAAGCATCTAAGTGTCCATCAGGTGTCAAACATTCTTCTAGATGCTGGGGTTGCAACAGCAAACAGAAGCTCTTACATACCTTATAAATGACTTTAATAGCTACCAAATGCTTACAATGTGCCCAGTGCTGGGTTAAGACCAGTTCTAAAACTGGTAGAACATACTTCGAAAGGTATTTAAAATTCTTTTTCATTGTTTCGCTTCTATCCCAGGCTCTCTGTCTTGAACATCCATTTCATAACAATTATTGTACTGCAGCTTTTTAGTTTAATTTTTATTTTAAAGATTTTATTTATTTATCTGCTAGACACCATGAGAGAGGGAACACAAGCAGGAGGAGTGAAAGAGGGAGAAGCAGCCACCCAGGTGCCCCCCGTACTGCAGCTTTATAAACAACGGTTGCCATCAATTGTGTGAGGAAATAGCAAGCACTGTGCTTTGTGCTCCATAAGAACACTATCCCAGGGGCACCTGGGTGGCTCAGTGGGTTAAAGCCTCTGCCTTCGGCTCAGGTCATGTTCCCAGGGTCCTAGGATCAAGCCCCACATCAGGCTCCCTGCTCAGTGGGGAAGCCTGGTTCTTCCTCTGCCTGCCCCTCTCTATCCCGCTCACCCTAACAAATAAATAAAACCTTTAAAAACAAAAACAAAACATTATCTCCTACAAAACATTATTTCTCAACCACTGTGTGAAATTGGTCAGTGTTACTATCTCCATGTAATGGACAAAGAAATCAAGGCTTGGAGAGATAAAAGTAACTTGCCTAAGATCACACAGCTTCTAGGTGGAATATAAAGTTTGAACCAACGTCTCTCTGATTCCTAAACCATCTTTCTTTCTTTGTTTTTTTTTTTTAAAGATTGTATTTATTTATTTGAAAGAGAGAGAGAAAGGTCATAAGTAGGCGGAGAGGCAGGCAGAGAGAGAAGGGGAAGCAGGTTCCCTGCTGAACAGAGAGCCCAATGTAGGGCTCGATCCCAGTACCCTGAGATCATGACCCGAGCCGAAGGCAGACGCTTAACCTACTGAGCCACCCAGGTGACCCCCCAAACCATCTTTCTTGATAATATATTACTTCACTATTACCTTGGTATATATAAGGAGACTTCAAAATACAAATCTATGAGCCAATGTTCAGCCTTTCTATAATTAAGGAGGGAAATGTGTTCCCTGTTTCATTACCGTAGGAATTAAACACAGTATTTTTTAATCATGGTGTGAGAAGAAAGGAGAATCAGGGCTTCTGAGGACAGTAAAGGGCCCAAGCTTACATCTGCATCCCTTCTACAATACCCCCACCAAGTGGTCATATGGCTTATACTTGACTAATCCATCACTGTAGTTTCATTCATTATTGGACAACCAGTTATGCATATGTTAGGCAGAGCTAGGAGCAGCAGGAAGAGGAATGAGACAGACATCTTGATGAGTAAACACCACTTGCATCCTAGCCCCCGAGCAGGAAGAGTATACAATAAACAAATGAATTGTTAGAAGCATTTTCAGGAAAACAAAACTGTTCTATGATAGAGTGAAGGAGGTCAGAGTGATGCTTGATTACACCAGGCCTCTCAAAGAAAGTGACTTTTGAACTAGGATCTGAATGGCCAGGATCACTCAAGGGTCAGGGCATGCTAGCCTAGAGAGAGAAGAAATCCTACAAAACTAGAAGGTAGAAATAAATATGCTTTGCAAGTTCAGTGCATGGAGGAGCCAAGCCATGTCTGGCCCAAAGGTGAGGGTCAGAGTTTGGGTTTTTTCCTAAGTGTAATGAGATACCAATGGAGGATTTTCGGCAGAGACACGATCTCATTTCCTTACCTGCAAAATGGGGATAATCACAAGTACCTGGCAGAATTTTTATGAAGATGAGAAATACTGTAAATAAACTGGTGTGACAGGCATTCAATGAGCAGAAATGGTTAATTGAGTAAATCTTTATGGAGCATTCCCCAAGCACCTCCAAGCAGAAGCTCTATGGATGGCTAAGCCACAGTCTTTGCCTTTGGGTCCATCGACAGTGAAGATATTGGCCGACCACTCTCTTTAAAAAAGAAAACGTTCCCATGCCTGTGGCATTCACTGTCCCCATTCTCTGCTTTATTCCTTTCCCCAGCACTTACCATCACTTCATATATTATGTATGTTACCTCCTTATTTGAATATATGTTCCATCAGAGCAACTCTTTTTTTTTTTTTTAAGATTTTATTTATTTATTTATTTATTTGACAGGCAGAGATCACAAGTAGGCAGAGAGGCAGGCAGAGAGAGAGAGAGGGAAGCAGGTTCCCCGCTGACCAGAGAGCCCGATGCGGGACTCGATCCCAGGACCCCAAGATCATGACCTGAGCCGAAGGCAGTGGCTTAACCCACTGAGCCACCCAGGCACCCGAGAGCAGCTCTTTTTATCTGTCTCATTATCCTCCCATATCCTTGCTACCAAATAAATGTTGAATTGGATGAGTTGAAACATTAGCTACTATAATTACCATTACTGGCACTTGAGTCTAAGAATTGCTCTAGACACACACTGTAACAAAGCTAGATTTTCATCAAATCATAAGTGAAAACTATTGTAGTGAAAAAAAATCACCTTTAAATAACAGTCATGAAGTATAAAAATTAATCCTAATAATTTCTATGGCCTCAGCTGGGACCATTAGAATGCTTTAATATATTTCAAAATAATTTCATTAGCACTATGATTATGTTGCCTGCCATAGAACAGACCTGAGAAGTCTACTTTCTTTTCACAGATTAATCTTAGTGATACTAACTCTGCCATCTGTTTCTTCATCCAAGGCCATATGGAGATGGATGACACTAGTTATCCCAGAGCTGATTTTTTTTTTAAATATTCAGAGAGAGAGAGCGAATGAGAGAGAGAGCACATAAGCAAAGGGAGAGGGAGAAACAGGTTCCCCGCCGAGCAGAGAGAGCCCAACTCAAGGCTTGATCCCAAGACCCCCGGGGTCACAACCTGAGCCGAAGGCACACGTCCAACCAACTGAGCCACCCAGGTGACCCGCTGGTTTTTTTTTTTTTTTTTTTTTGGAAAGATTTTATTTATTTGAGAGAAAGAGAATGAGTGGGGGAAGGGCAGAGAGAGAAGCAGACTCCAGCTGAGCAGAATCCCAGTTAGGCCCCTGGGATCAAGACCTGAGGTGAGGGGTGCCTGGATGGCTCAGTGGCTTCGGTCACGATCCCAGGGTCTGGCTCTCTGCTCAGCAGGGAGCCTGCTTCATCTCCTCTCTCTCTCTGCCTACTTGTGATCTCTGTCAAATAAATAAATAAAATCTTAAAAAAAAAAAAAAAAAAGACCTGAGGTGAAGGCAGATGCTTAACAGACTGAGCCACCCAGGCGCCCCCAAGAGCTGATTTATAGGAAGGAGGAAAACGTGGAAAAGTCCAAAACATCTAATAATGACTGACACCACAGGCTAAAGCAAGTGGCTTCTTCCTATATTTTACATATTAAAGAAACAATGTCATAAACATAAGTTCAGTGTTTTTCCAAGAGCGTGCAAAATTCCCTAAATCTAATCGCATCCCCTAGGAATCTGTTAGAAACATAAATTGGTAGATCCTCCCTCCACCCCACATTACACCTCAGACCCACTAAACTGGAATCTCTGGGGGGTGGGGTTCAGTTAAACTCTCCAGGTGAAGTTTGAGAAACAGGGAGCCCTAGAGATTGGAAATACATTTCAATCCATGGCAGAGTAATTACATGACAGAAGAGCACCTCTGTGTTTTTCCCAATGTTCACAGACTTTCACCTGCCTGCCTGATACTGTACCCGCCCTTCAGCCCTGTTCTTACCAGCTAGATTGTTGTAGCAGTCTGTCTGCGTGGTCTGCAGTATGTTCTCCTGCTCAGGTGTGAGGGCCGGGCCCTGAGGTCCTAGATTGGGTATCGGGGAGGGCAGATTTGGATCCAGACCCCGCAGCTGAAGCAGAGCTCGATGGTACCTACTTACAGCATCTCGGTACTTCCCTTCTCGGTAACGCTGGTTCCCTTTCTCCTTGTACAGCTGAGCCTCCTGCAGGCGCTTCTCCATAACCCTGCCTCCCAGAGCTCTTGCGGAATTGGGAAGTGAAAGAGCAACTGAAGCTCTGAAGACAGGAGCGAATAACTAATTTAGGTAGCCGGTATGAGAAGGCAGGAAATTACCCTTCTCCAGGACGCCCCCCAGGGAATGAGTTTCGCTTGTTTCTTCTACAGCCCCTTCCTCTCTACTCTGCAGTATTTTTCGATCTCTAGACGTACAGGAGTAATCAGGGAGAGGATGAGGGAAGAGCAAAGCCAGAGACTAAGTGATTTCTTAAAGAGACTGCGGGGTGGACAAGCCCTCCCGGAAAATCAGAGGCCGTCCCAAGGAACTGTGGCAGGCGTGGGAATGCCGGCGGATTTTGCTTCCTCCTTTCTTTTGGACACACCTCCCTGACCCGGAAGCGGAAGGGAATAGGCGGGGACAGCTGCTGAAAGAGGGCTACAGGGCTGGCCGCCACCCTGGCTCTTTATTTGCACGTATTCCACAAGCATTTGTTTCTGTCTGCGTCAGAAGCTGGGAACCGAGCTGAATGCGTTCCGTGCACCCAAACCACAGGCATAAACTGACGCAGCAGCACAGCAGCTCAGTGGCAAGTCCCTGAAGCCCCACGGGCAACCGCTCGCCCTCTGCAAAAGCCCAGGCACGGAAGTCTCCTCCTCGACTTCGGTTTACGGGCGGAAGCACCTACAGTACCTGGGCCAGAGTCCCGACAGCTTGGTGTCTAAACGGCAGCGCGCATTGCGCCACGCCGTCCAATCACAAGCGGCCTCGAAAAAGTAATCCCGCAGAAATGACCCCGCCTCTCCAGCCCCCTGCGGATCAACCCGGGGGCTGGAGGGGGGGGGCGGAATCTCCCGGCAGCTTCGCCAATTGGAAGAATCCGGATGATCACGCACGGCCAATCAGAACTGCAGATGTCGATTCAAGTTGGCCAATAAGAAAGCTAATAGGCGAGGTCCGAGCGTGTGTTGCTGGGTAGAGAACTTGAAGGATTTAGAGAAGAGGGCCAGGGGGTCATGGTATATTCCTTGGTTTGGGGAAGCCCTTTGTGTACTAAACAGAAAGACAGTTGCTAGTAGGCTTTCAAGTTGCAACAGCTTCCCTCCTGGCTTTTTTCTTCTTCTCAAAAGCTGCCTCACGTATAGATAGTAGGGAAGAAAGACTAGCAAGCCCTAAGACGACAGCGCGATCGGAAGCCAGCCGGGAGTAAGGGTGGTGACGGGGTGGGAGGGGCGTGTGGGAAAGGAGCTCCCGGCGGCTGCGCAGAGCCCGCGGCTGGAAGTACGGGAAGGCGGGCGCGCACACCCCTCCGTGCTACGAGGCACTTGAACCGCAGCCAGTCCCCGGCTCCGGCTCCGGTGCGGCTGCGCGGTGAAACCGCTGGCGGCGATTGGCCGAGGGGTGAGAGGGGGCGGGAGGTAAGGGGAGGGAAGTCTGTCGTCCTCGGCGCGCCCGCCCGCGGCAGGGGAACCGAAGGGCTGTAAGGGAAGCAGTGCCCCGCTGCGTTGTTTGGGGCTCCGTGAGCCGAAGGGGGGAGGGGAGCAGTAGGGAGAAACAAACACTACGTAGCGGAGGCTGCGCGCGGCCTTCGCTGCCTGCGTGCGTACGTGCGTGCGCTCGCTCGCGCGGGCTCAGTGCTGGCGCGTGAGGCGGAGGCGGGCGGCGGCGGCGCCTGCGCGGTCGGGCTCGGTCGACGGTTCGCAGGGGAGGAGGCGGCGGGAGGCGGAGGAGGCGGCGGCGATGGAGGTGAAGCGGCTGAAAGTGACCGAGCTGCGGTCGGAGCTGCAGCGGCGGGGCCTGGACTCGCGCGGCCTCAAGGTGGATCTGGCGCAGCGGCTGCAGGAGGCGCTGGACGCCGAGATGCTCGAGGACGAGGCCGGCGGTGGCGGGGCCGGGCCCGGCGGGGCCTGCAAGGCGGAGCCTCGGCCTGTAACCGCGTCGGGCGGTGGCCCGGGCGGGGACGAGGAGGACGACGAAGAAGAGGAGGAGGAGGACGAGGAGGCGCTGCTTGAGGACGAGGACGAAGAGCCACCCCCTGCCCAGGTCTCGGGCCAGGCCGCGCAGCCGCCGCCGGAGCCTCCGGAGGCGGCAGCCATGGAGGCCGCGGCCGAGCCTGATGCTACCGAGAAGCCGGCGGAGGAGTCCACGGCGGGGTCAGGTGGGGTAAATGGTGGCGAAGAGCAGGGCACCGGCAAGGGGGAGGAAGACGAGCCGGAGGAGCGGAGCGGGGACGAGACGCCGGGATCCGAGGCGCCGGGTGACAAGGCCGCAGAGGAACAGGGTGAGGAGCTGGCAGCGGAGCTCGGCTCCAAACTGCCCCCGACCCAGCACCCAGCCGTGCGCCGCGGGGTCCGATTCCCTGTTCTCACTTGCCTGAAAGCGCAAGATTCCTATCGCCTTCTGGTGGGACTCCCCAGGGGAGGTGGTGGTTTTCATTCTCTACCCACCTTTCTGGGGGGTTTGGCTGCCTCTGGCGGCCCTGCTCTCTTCAGGAGGGAGGTTCCTGCCTAACTTGGTTCCTAGATGGAAGTGAGCGATTTTGCAGGCGAACTGCTTGTGAGCTACCTGTGGAGCAGCTTCCCGCGGTACTGGTTATCTTTTCCTAAAGCGGGAATGCGCTTAGAAATTGGCGATTACACGGACAGTCAGATCGCACTATAGGGAGGCTTTGGCCTTTGGGTTATTGATATTTCTGCCTTAAAAATATTAAGCAATAAGCTAAGTTCGCCAAAGTTCGCCCCATCACTTTGCTGGAGCTTGAGCCACACAGTGAATCTGGAAGTCTAACCTTGCTCCCGCTTTAGCAGCCAGTGGTGTGAGGGTGTGGAGTTTAATAGTTAACTAGTGAAGCGAAGGTCTTAATCTAGTGTGTTTAGAACTGACCAACCCCCTCGTAGAGGTTTTATCTTGCCTGAATTCTTATGATTAAATTTTAATCTTCCCACTGAGTCTGTGGATGGGCAAATTTGGGGATTTGCTGTATACTTGGTCAGCCTTTTACATTTTCGGTCCCTGACTTCCTGAATTGAAAAGATTGAGGTGTTAGTGGCTCCATTTGAGTAACCTCGGAAGAGAATGTGTAGAGTCGCCCCAGGGAGTTAGTGACCTTTGTTTTTTTGAAGTGGCTGGATGGTGAGAGCTGATCCATACCTGTCTGTCAGAGTAGGTAGGAAACCTAGAGCTGCTTCCAAGTCTTACTATGAAGTGGGTTGCCTTAGTTTTTATAACAGATTTTTTAAAGCTGCTATTAGTAATCATGGTATAATTGGAACCCATTCTAAGACAGTCACATGCAACTTGCAGATTGTTTGTTCTATGTCCTGGAACAAAAATCCCATTACATAACCTTTGACTTGACGTGTATCCCAAATAGCAGGTAAAAAAGGTTGAGAGATAAAGGACTGCTTTAAAGAAATTATTATTAAATATCTTTGTGTTGCAAATTACCAAAGTCTAAGGAAAAATTCCAGTTTTTTTCCTCCCTCTGGCAGAGAATGTTGCTAAATATGTGACAACACCTTTCTGCCCCAAATTATGTGCAGTAAAGATGCAGTATTATTTATGGGTCTCTTGTGACTTAATGGTTTGCTCTTGGCAATTTTCAGTAAAAACGCATGGTAAAAATACAGCTGTGTATATGCACCTGAGTCTGTTTGGTGTATAAGTAAAAGTTGCGAATGGCTGTGCATTCTAAGCTAGAAAGGCAAACTCTTTAAAACACACACACACGGGACGCCTGGGTGGCTCAGTTGGTTGAGCGGCTGCCTTCGGCTCAGGTCATGATCCCAGCGTCCTGGGATCGAGTCCCACATCGGGCTCCTTGCTCAGCGGGGAGCCTGCTTCTCCCTCTGCCTCTGCCTACCACTCTGTCTGCCTGTGCTCATGCTCTCTCTCTAACTAATGAATAAATAAAATCTTTAAAAAAAAAAAAAAAAAAACACACACACACACTCACTCTGAGGCATCTATATCATGAAGCTGTGGAAGAGTGTTGGAAAATGTGTATTAACTGTTTCGCTTATTTCCAAATCTAACAATCAAGGATCAAAATTAAATTAACCTACGAAGTTTTTTAAAAGACTTAGGGGATTTTTAAAGATGTCATATTGGTGGGAAAATCTGCAAGTTTGACCTGATTTAAGCAGATAAATTTAGAATGCAAAAATTGTCCAATTTTTATCTACTGCTTGACTTTAATTAGCCCATAATGTCCGTCCCTTCTTTTTTCTAAGATAAAATACCATCCAATGACAGGAAGATGATCTTTAGAAATAAAGCATTCTGTGGATGCAGTGGGAATAACCTGGCTGTTCTCATTAGACGGATTCTCAGCTCCTCCTTTAGTTGCTATTGGTTCTGAGCTTATTCTACATTCCAAAATGAAAACTGCTGATTTTCTTTCCCTCCTTTTTGTAGGAGATGACCAAGATAGTGAAAAGTCAAAACCAGCAGGCTCAGATGGTGAGCGGCGGGGGGTAAAGAGACAGCGGGATGAGAAGGATGAACATGGCCGAGCTTACTATGAATTCCGAGAGGAGGCTTACCACAGCCGGTGAGGGAAACAGTCCCTTTCGTTGAAAGGAGTGTCTGCTCTGATTTTGGTATACCTGATATTGATTGGAGAGTTTGGAAAGAGGGGTGGATTAAAAATGGAATAGGTTTTTACAGGCATAAGTATTAGATTGGATCTGCTCTGAAAGCTCCTGTTGTTGTTTTCTCATTTGTTGAAAGCAGCTGTCTCCTGGAATTTTATATTCACTGATAGTTTAAGACATTTTACAGACACCCCTCAAAGAAGAGGGGTTTGGATACACCATTTGCTTTTCTCTTCTACCTACAGCTCAAAGTCTCCACCACCCCCCGAAGAAGAGGCAAAAGATGAGGAGGAGGATCAGACTCTTGTGAACCTGGACACGTGTATGTTTAAGGCAGAAGGTTGGGGTTTTCAACCAGTCAAATGTGATTTGGGATATTAAAATTTCATGGTCTGCAATTTTTAAGAGACTTAGCAATGGGAGACTTTGTATCCATTCTTGACAACTAGGTGTATTTGTGCTCTGCTGGTGGCTTTCAAGTGTTGAGCTTTGGAATAAACAGATTCCTTCTTTCTAACAGATACCTCGGATCTCCATTTTCAAGTGAGCAAAGACCGCTATGGAGGGCAGCCGCTTTTCTCAGAGAAGTTCCCCACCCTTTGGTCTGGGGCAAGGAGTACTTACGGCGTGACAAAGGGGAAAGTCTGCTTTGAGGCCAAGGTAGTATATGCAGCTCATTGAGACCATTCATTTATTAAATTGTTCATTAAACTACTATGTATTCGGTTCCTGCCTACCAATATTGTATTAATGCAGTAAAAGGCACCACGTTTTAATGATAACCTTAGCTCCAGTAACCAAGAAATTGATCTCTCTGGCTTTGGTTTAAGTTCATTGACAGCTGTTATTCTGATGTTGAGTTGTGGTAGTAGTTTTCAGTTCATATAAAAGGCTTGTCTTTCTTTCTTTTTTTTTTATTTTAAGATTTTATTTATTTATTTGACACAGAGAGATCACAGTAGACAGAGGCAGGCAGAGAGAGAGAGAGGGAAGCAGGCTCCCCGCTGAGCAGAGAGCCCGATGCGGGACTTGATCCCCCGACCCTGAGATCATGACCTGAGCCGAAGGCAGTGGCTTAACCCACTGAGCCACCCAGGCGCCCCAAGGCTTGTCTTTCTAACTCAGCCTTTGCTCCTGAATTGGTCACAGTATCTGAGAGTTCCTTTTCTGACTTGACCAGGTAACCCAGAATCTCCCAATGAAAGAAGGCTGCACAGAGGTTTCTCTCCTTCGAGTTGGATGGTCTGTTGATTTTTCCCATCCACAGCTTGGTAATGTTATTTTTAACTTAATCGTTGTGTTTGCTGCCGTGTTGCTTACTCCATAGGAAATTTGTGTGTAGATAACTAATTTGTTCGCTGTTCTAGGTGAGGATGAATTCTCTTATGGTTTTGATGGACGAGGACTCAAGGCAGAGAATGGGCAGTTTGAAGAATTTGGCCAGACTTTCGGGGAGAATGATGTCATTGGCTGCTTTGCTGTAAGTGCTCCTAAAAGTTGTGGATTCATAGCAAGGAGTGGATAGAGGGCACTGGGTATTCAGTTTGCTTCTCCCCCCGCCCCCCCAAGTAGGCTCCATGCTAGGCGGGAGTCTACTTCCTTTGCTGTATTGTCAGATTTCTGAAAGCAGGTAAAGTCTGGAATGTATCAGTGAGTTCACTGTGGGGCTTGAACTCATGACTGAGATTAAGATCTGAGCTAAGTGTCGGACGCTCAACCCACTCAGCTACCCAGGTGCCCCTCAGTTTGCTTCCTGTCAGGTCTTGTCTTCTGTGCATTTGATGCATTGTTTGCTGAGTTGTGTTCGGCAGTCTGAGTTTTAAAAAAATATTGTAAGATGTAATCAGTCTCAAACCCTGTAAGGTCACAAACGCTCTTGTTTGTTGTCATTGTAGAATTTTGAGGCTGAAGAAGTAGAACTTTCTTTTTCCAAGAACGGAGAAGACCTAGGTGTGGCGTTCCGGATCAACAAGGAGTCCCTGGCAGAACGGGCCCTCCTACCCCATGTCCTCTGCAAAAATTGTGTTGTAGAATTAAACTTTGGTCAGAAGGAGGAGCCCTTCTTCCCAGCACCGGAAGAGTTTGTGTTCATTCATGCTGTGCCTGTTGAGGAGCGGGTGCGCACCGCTGTCCCTCCCAAGACCATAGAGGAGTGTGAGGTACGCCAGACAACGCGCAGGAACGTTCGTACGTGTGCTTTGGAACAGTTGGTCTTACGGCTTCTCATAAAGCTGCTTCTTAAAGCTCCACTGAGCTGGGGCAGATGATGATGCTCTTAAATGGGGCTTTGTAAACATGACCCTCCGTCACTTTCATGGTATTCCTGGTTCTGTTTACTTATAGGTGATTCTGATGGTAGGACTGCCTGGATCTGGAAAGACCCAGTGGGCACTGAAATACGCAAAAGAAAACCCCGAGAAAAGATACAATGTCCTGGGAGCTGAGACTGTGCTCAGTCAGATGAGGGTGAGTTGCTAGGGGAGGATAGCCATGGTATTTGCTTTGGAGGCCCCCAAGAAATGCCTATAACCTTTTTCTGATGGAGTTGGGTCTGTTAAGTGTCTGAGAACAGGATCCCACAAATAGAGAAATGAATTCTCAATATATATTTAAAGTAGTTTTAGTTTGTTTTTTTTTTTTTTTCCGTTTGCTGTGTTGTCAGATTTCTGAAAGCAGGTGAAATCTGGACTATATCCAGATCAAGACTGGAAGTGACTCTTAGAAAATGGACAACATACATTCACAGCATTGAGTAGCCGTGAACTGCTGTGATAGCTTTGGTGGCATTTAGAGAGATGGCCTTTACCAGTGACTCTTGGGTTTTAACTTGTGCATAACTTCTTGTGTTTCTCTTCACTTCCCCTCGAACTCACCAGATGAAGGGGCTTGAGGAGCCAGAGATGGACCCCAAAAGCAGAGACCTTTTAGTTCAGCAAGCCTCCCAGTGCCTTAGTAAGCTGGTCCAGATTGCTTCCCGGACAAAGAGGAACTTCATTCTTGATCAGGTATTCTTCAGACATTGGGGGAAATAAAAAACAAAAACAAAAAACCTGGGGCACCTGGCTGGCTGAGTCAGTGGGAAGTGCAGCCCTTGATCTTGGGGTTGTGGATTCGAGCCCCATGTTGAGTGCAGAGACTACTTAAAAAACGAAAGAAGGAAAAAAAGAAAGCTAATTTTACAGAAGGTCCAAAGATGAAAACTTATCTGATAGAATTGCCTGCAGCCCCAAGTGGGGTGCATATGTAGAGGGAGACTGAATTAACGATCAGAACCAGGTTACCTAATTATGACTGAGCGGTTATATTGTGGCCATGTTTTTTGAACACAGAGATGCCTCCTATGAGTGTTTTTACCAGAGAGTAGGGACCCAGACTATACATACGTAATAGAGGTAATGGGAAGAGCTTGTTTGGATTCCTGGCTCCACCACTTACTAGGTTTATGACTTCAGACAAGTCTTGTTCTCTGAGTCTCAATTTTTCTGATGTGCAAAACAGGATAATATCTGTTAGAATTTGAAGAATTAGGGGAAATTGTGTCTGTAAGACCCCTAATCTCTTGCTTCACTTGGAAAAGATTCTCCGTAAGTGTTTTGGTTGCATATGAGTGGTAATTTTTATTCCTAAAACCTGTTATCCTTCCTGTCCCTAGTGTAATGTGTACAACTCTGGCCAACGGCGGAAGCTGTTGCTGTTCAAGACTTTCTCTCGGAAAGTGGTGGTGGTTGTTCCTAATGAGGAAGATTGGAAGAAGAGGCTGGAGTTGAGGAAGGAAGTGGAGGGAGATGATGTGCCTGAGTCTATAATGCTGGAGATGAAAGGTGGGCTAACATGATACAAGTTAGGGAGCCTGTCCTTGGTCAGTGCACACCTTTTCAGGGCCTCTTAGCGCCTCTTAGCATCTGGAGTACTTCACATTTAAAGAGTAAATCTGGGGGTGCCGGCCTAGCTCAGTCAGTAGAGCATGTAACTCTTGATCTCAGTGTCATGAGTTCAAGCTCAGGTTGGGCATAGAGCTTACTTTAACAAAGTGGGGGGTTGTGTAAATCTGGAGAGTAAATGAATGGGTATGAGCACTTATAGATGGATGAACGAGGAAGTGACTGGAGAGAGGCAGTAACTCCTTGAATCATTCCAGAGAGGATACAAAAAGGGAGGTAGTGATAGACCATCACTCAGAGCAGAGGCTTTGTTGAGTCAGTTACTCATTTAGTAAAAGCTTCAGGGGTGTTTACTGTTTGTTAGTACTATCCTAGGCATAGAGAGTAAATAGCCATGAAACGAGGCTTTGCCTTCATTGAATTTATGTTCTAGAGGGGGGCGGTTATTACAGTTCAAACAAAACTATAGTGTTTGGTGTGAACAGTCTCATTGGTATACCTTGCTTTCTAGTGTCACATTAGGATTGTTCTTTCGTTTTGGTTTTTGGTATGTGCCTGCAATTTTTAATGCAGTACAGAACCTTAGAGCAACATCTCCATCTTGACTGATCCCACTTCCAGTTGTTCTCTTGAGGTGATTTTTTTTTCCCCCCTGTTGGCTGCCTTCACCTTCTGGCATCCCACCTGTCTTATCGGCTACTGGCTCTTTGAATTGTGGTAATGCCCAGACCCGGGAGCTGATGACACACCTAAGAGCTGGACGCTCTGAGTTAACTCAGAATGAACTTTTCCAGTCCATACCTGATACTCAGACACTTGGAGGAATTTAATTCAGAGAGCTCACTGGATTCCTCTGAGAATCAGGAGATCCCCATTGAGCTGAATTCTGCTGAGACCCAGCCTCATGTGCTGGCCCGTCACGCACAGGTGGTAAATGAGCTCCCTTGTACCCTTGCTTCCTGTGCTCATGTAGATGAGTAAGTGCATTTTGGTTTGGGTCAGCTTCTCACGGAGTTGCTCTTAAAAGTGGATTTTTCAGCATCTTACCAACACCAAAACTTTCTCAGGTATTTTTAGCTTCTGGCTACCTGCCTCTGTCCTGATAAGAGACTTTAACCCAATTCACTGTTAATTTATTATGGATCACTGGAGAACTTGTAAATCGACTTCGCAAGTAGCCTCTGGTCTGGGGCTGATACAATTTAGGGAAAAACTTCCAGTAGGGCAAGTGCATCATTCAGTTAATTGTGAGTGGGGATGAACCCAGCACCTTTGTGGGCATGGGTAGATGAGGCTTAGAAGATCCCGTTCCTCCTCTAGTGGGCTTTTCAAGGTGAGGTCTTGCGCACGTATGCACTTTTCAGGTCTCGAGAGCTTCTCTCTTCCTCTTACAGCCAACTTCTCTCTGCCTGAGAAATGCGACTATATGGATGAGGTGACATACGGCGAGCTGGAGAAGGAGGAAGCTCAGCCCATTGTCACTAAGTACAAGGAGGAGGCCAGGAAGCTGCTGCCCCCCTCCGAGAAGCGGACAAACCGCCGAAACAATCGAAACAAGCGCAACCGGCAGAACCGAAGCCGCGGCCAAGGCTACGGTGAGTCCCGGGGACCTGCCAGCCTCCCTGCCTTGGTGCGGCGTCATCGCTGCGCACAGAGGGAGCCACGGTAGAGGCAAGGACACCCAGTCAAGTTGTAGGTGTTAAGAAAGTACCTTCTTTATGGAGCTCATTCTTCCTGTGTCCTCCACCCCCCATCTTCTTAGGCTTTTCCCACAATCCTTCGTTCAGCGAGAGGTAGTTGTTTTGCAACAGAAATGTTTTTTCCTTGAAAAACAGTGTTTGAGCTTCTCTATCTCGTTTTCAGTGTTACATACGAGTGCCCCGCTTACTTCCTGCTCACTGTTGCAGTAGAGCTCCAGGAGGGGTGCAGTGAGACGGGACTCTAAGCCTAAAGTTTCTTGCTGCTTTGTCTGTTGGATCAACCCAGCTGTGTAGACAGAAAGTGAATGCATTATTCAGTAATTTGGGTGGGGGGTGTTACGAAGTAAGTTAGGCTAGTGATAGAATTAATTTTCCTCCTGAATGTCTTGTCAGTGAGCCCCATAGTGTGCGCTCACTGCCCTTTAATAATGTTTGTGTGTGTGTGTGTGTATAAGTCAACAAAATTTTTGAGTGTCTGCTGTGTGCTAGGCAGTGGGAATACCAGCTTCCTACCCTAGACGAGCTTACTAGTTAGACTTCGTGTCATTGGCATGGAATAACGGGTCTGGGTTACAGGATATCTGGGGTCCCTTCCAAAACTGAAAGTCTGTGATCCTATGAATGGCAGATTTTATTCCTATTCCTAACTCTGCCATCTATCCTTTTGCCATCTTAGATGTTTTGCAGGAATTGGGGAGCTCCAAAAGCAAGGTGGCTTGGTTTCCTTGTGTCTCTATTCCTCTGCCCTCCCCCTTCAGACTCTTGAAAAAGCTCCTGGCTGGTGTTTTAATTACCATTGTGTAAGCCTGACAGAAGTAGGCTTCCTACTCCCCCAGAATTGCCTTTGGCTCCGACTTTTTGATTTCCACTCAGACGTGGAGCCAGGACCCCATGCCAGCTGTCTGAGCGCGCTCTCCATTTCTCTTCCAGTGGGCGGGCAGCGCCGAGGCTACGACAACCGGGCCTACGGGCAGCAGTACTGGGGGCAGTCTGGAAACAGAGGGGTGAGTGCAGCTCTCCTTCTGCTCCTCCCTCTGGGTCGTGATGGCCATTCCTATTGGCTTGGGGGAGCAGAGCGGTTTGGGCTGTTTCCTCAGGGCTTAGGGTTTTGCCCACTGAATGTGTTCCTCTGGAAGAATTTATTCTGGGAAGCTTAAGCCTGTTGATCATATCAAGCTATGACGTGTGTCTCGTTTAAAATGGGATGGCAGCGGATCGTGATGCCGACAACCCGTAAATCTCCGCTCCTCCTTTCTCAGGGTTACCGTAACTTCTACGATCGATACAGGGGAGACTATGATCGATTCTACGGGCGAGATTATGAGTACAACAGATACAGAGACTATTACAGACAGTACAGTCGGGATGTGAGTATCTTCGGGGAGAGCGAGGGGGGGTGGCAGGACTAGAGGAATGAGCGTCATGCTCTCCGTCCTCTGCCAGCTGTGGCGCCCAGTGACGGGGTTTCCCCTCTCTTCTAGTGGCAGAATTACTACTACCACCACCCCCAGGACAGAGACCGATACTACAGGAACTACTACGGTTACCAAGGGTATCGGTGAAGCCCCTGTCATTCTCGCCTGTCAGCCGTGAAGCTGAATCTCTAGGGGTGCCAGGCACCCCCCAAAACACAACCAAGGAAAACAGGGGCTGTTCGGGTGGGGCTGAGCTGCCGGGGAGGGGCGGTGGGGGGGAGGGTGCGCAAGCAGGGGCAGGGGAGGGGGGAGGTGGAAACAACAAAACTGTACATTTTTTTTAAAAGTTTGTTGAAAAGAATATTGTCTTATTCTATAAAACATTTCAAACCTAGTTAGATATTTGTAATCAAAAACATTTGCGCAGAAAGCAGCACTTAGGGCTGCCTGTCCTGTATCCTGCAGTTCGGACAGGAAAAGAACTGAAAATGTCACCCTTCTGACATTCTAAGGCAGCGGGACTGGCAGCCAAGGAAGGGAGAGTGTTGAGGAGGTGCGGAGAGGGTGGGCACGCATGTGAGCGCGCCCTCCCCGCAGCAGGCAGGAGTGGGGACAGAGGGAGAGCTTGTGACTGGGGCAGTGAAAATAAACGATTGGCTCTTATCAATCACTTGCACCAACTAACCGTTTGTATTTTCTTTACCGACCTTTCCCTCTTGGGATATCTGGTCTGGTGGGCTGGGAGGCCAAAGTGTCCCTGTCTCCACTTTCCCGGGCCTCGTGCTGTTCGGCGGAGGCGCGGAGACTACCAGTTGGGTGGTTCTGTTACGTAGGATTCGCAGGCCGAGGAGGCCCGGGGACGGCTCACGATCGCGGAGCGGAACAGCGGGCCCGCTCCGCGCACGCAGCAGTGAATTGCCGCAGAACCTTCGGGGGAGAGGGGCGTTGCCGCCCTCAGCCGGAAGATTGTGATTTTGCCAGTCTCTGCTCTCTGTCTTCCAAGCTCGAGACAGGCGGGAAGTCTCTGAAATCATCTCTGTTAGGGTACCTGGCCTCTTGTAGTGCGAGAGAAGGAGCGTTTCTCAGGGTTTCAGCTCACACAGAAACGAAGCAGGATTCTTGATGCCGCAGCAGGATATGTACATAGGCGAATCCTGTGGTGTGGGCTCCCGGGCCCAGGTGCTGAGAACAGCAACTATTTTATACAGTGTGGGGGGCGCAAGCCCTGCTGGTTTTTTTGATACACAGGTAGAGAGTGGATAGGAGGGGGGTGGGGGGTGGGAGGCAGCTCAGTGGGGGCTGCCAAAATGGGGGGGGGAGGCCGAGAATGTGAGCGCGTGCGTACCGTGTGCTTGAGAAGGGAGCCGCCCCCTCCCGACTTCTGGAAACAGGATTCCTCCAGGGGCGCTGTCCCTGCGCGTCCCCAGAGAGGCCTCTAGCCAGGAGACTTGAGTTGGGATAGTTTTTGTTTGTAACTTTACCAACACCCTCCCGGTTCTTGACAAACAGCTTCTGGTGGCCGTGCTCAGGAATCCGGGGCGGTGTGGGAATGCTCCTTCCGTCCTCCGCTTCAGTTGTAAGTCCTCTTCCTGCCCAGTGTTGTGTCAGCCAAGAGCTTACTCTGCAAACACTGCGTCCTGCAGCACTAGCCGGTCGGGGCGGTGGGGGGGGCCGGCTTGGACCCCACGCCTGCCCCGAGGCTCCGCTTCCGTTTCCTCACCTGGGCAGTCCTCGGGTAAAAATTTTGTGCTGAGATCTGATCTTCCTCTCCCTCTGCCATTACTCCTTCCATGCAGCCCTTCTCTAGGCTCGCAGGCCCAGCCCTGGTCCTCCAGTCACCCCTGTCCCATACACCCTTCTGCCCCCGAGGCTGGCGAGGGGGTGCTGGTAGGAAGGGAGCCGGCTTGCTCCTAATGACATCCTTTCCGTTGGCGCCTGCTTCCTTGTGGGGCCCTCGTGGATTTGCGCGTGGCAGTGGGTGAAGTGATTGTGTGAACTTTGCTGTAATCCACTAACAACTTATTAAGGGAGTTTGAGAAAGCTTTGCTCGTAGTGTCAGGCAGGGAGGTAAAAATTCGAGCCCAAAGAAATTGCTGTAGGGCAAGATGATGTGAATAGAAAATTGAATCTGAGGCAGAAGTTGCCATCCCTTTTTCAAATGTTCCGTCCTCTGGCAAATAGCATCTTTTTATGGTCTCTGACGTGGTTTGTGGATGCTAGGCCCTCGGGGCCAGAGGAACAAAGCTCAAGCCGTTTGGAGGTCTTGGGGATTGGGGGAGGGCTAGGGGAGGGACTTGCTGTTAATTTTGGACTCCAGAAAGTCATCATTAAAAAAAAAAAAAAAAAAGCTTTTTCTGCTGGATGGAGAGTGAAGCTGCCACATCCTTGTTGGTTTAACCCAAGAGATCACGTACAGCAACAGTAGATGTCTGGGTTTTGTTTCTGTCTTTTTATTGTGAAAAAATGTTAAGGGGGGGAAATGTGGATTACCAGGAGGGACCCCTAGCCTTGTTTTCCTTAGAAGACTTGTTTAGTGTTTTATCAGACGTCTGTTGTAGTTGTCATAGATGGAAACGCACACCACATGGAGCCTGTAAATGTTTTTGCACAACCTGTAAAGCATTCTTGGAAGTGGCCAGTAAAAAAGGGTTTTACCGTTTAAAAAAAAAAAAAAATGTAACTGTGTCATTGTTTACATCTGTAACTTTTTCCTCCCCTGTTCTCATTACATCCTGGCAAAAATGTAGGCATAGTAGCTTCCAGTTTTAGAATAAATAACCATTTGGATTGAATTCACCCTCTTTCCTGTGGCTGCACTGACTGGGGCGGAGTGTGTCATCTGGGGGGAAACTGATTTTTGATGGTGATTCCTCAAGTTGTCATGGGTTCAACCAACGATGGCTTTCCCCTTGCATGGCTAGTACTCCCTTCCTGTTCCGCGAGTCCCTTGGGAGCCAGCCAGGCCTTCACGTGAGGGTTCTTAGTCCCCATAGTGCCTGCTTGTGCTGAGTGTTTGAGCCAGTGGAGTAGGAGAAAATAAATTCTAAATCCTGACTTCTCTGTATTTGGCCTATACTACAACCAGTTGGGTGCTTAAAGCTAAATGTAAGGTTCCATTTGGGGGCCAAATAAGTTTATTAATAAGTTATTACTATTTAGGAGGAAGAGCCTCACTCCATGAAAGGTGTTTGATGGGGGTTATTTCATAGTTAATTTGGAGAGGAAAAGGTAACTTTAATTAACAAGAGCACTATTGTGTTTCTAGCACTGAATTGCTCCTAACTGTAATTTCTTTTTCTTTTTTTAAGATTATTTATTCATTTATTTGACAGAGAGAAATCACAAGTAGGCAGAAATAGGCAGAGAGAGAGAGGGAGAAGCAGGCTCCCTGCTGAGCAGAGAGCCTGATGTGGGCTCGATCCTAGGACCCTGGGATCATGACCTGAGCCGAAGGCAGAGGCTTTAACCCACTGAGCCCACCCAGGCACCCCCTAACTGTAATTTCTAATAAATGGTCAGGGACTTAATAAAGCTGAGATGCCACAGGCTCACAACCAGTGTTTGGAAAAAGTAGTGATATAACAGGTAACAGATCCTGCTCTAACTCCTCTCTCCGTGTGGGACACAGATTCAGACCCTCAGAGGCTTACGGATTTGTTTACATAAAGGCTATCCTTTTTTTTTTTTTTTTTTAAAAGATTTTATTTATTTACTTGACAGAGATCACAAGTAGGCAGAGAGGCAGGCAGAGAGAGCACAGGAAGCAGGCTCCCCACTGAGCAGAGAGCCCGAGATCAGGGCTATCTTTGATTTCAGTATGTGCCCATTTTCTGGGATACTTAAAGTCAGGTTTTTTTTTGTTTTTTGTTTTTTTAAGATTTTATTTATTTATTAGAGAGAACATGAGAGGGGGGCGGGTCAGAGGGAGAAGCTGACTCTGTGCTGAGCAGGGAGCCTGATGGGGGACTTGATCCTGACACCCCAGGATCATGACCTGAGCTGAAGGCAGTTGCTTAACCAACTGAGCCACCCAGGCACCCTAAAGTCAGTTTTGTGTGTGTGTGGTTTTTTTAAAAGATTTTATTTATTTATTTGACAGAGATCACAAGTAGGCAGACAGGCAGAGAGAGAGGAGGAAGCAGGATCCCCGCTGAGCAGAGAGCCTGATGTGGGGCTCGATCCCAGGACCCTGAGATCATGACCTGAGCCAAAGGCAGAGGCTTTAACCCACTGAGCCACCCAGGCGCCCCCCCAAAGTCAGTTTTAAAGCTAATTAATCATTTTTAAAAATTAATCATTTTTAATGGTTATTTATGGTTAATGCCTGGTCTCTGGTAACCTCTTTTTTAAAAAAAGATTTTTATTTATCTTTGCGAGAGAGAGCGCGTGCCTGTGCAAGTGACGGGGGAGGGAGGGACAGAGGAAGAAGCAGACTCTGCTGAGTGGGGAGCCTGATGCAGAACTGGATCCCAGGACCATGAAATCATGACCTGAGCCAAAGGCAGGTGCTTAACTGAGCCGCTCAGGCACCCATCTGGTAACCTCTTAAGCCCCCTTTGTCCCCAAACAGGGCTGCAGCCATTCACCCCCAATTTGATGAGTATGAAAATTGTGCAGAAAAATTGAAAAGAGACTTAAAAAGCAAAACAACGAATATCAAGATTACGTTTATTGAGCACTTCCGTTCTGGCTTTTTACCAAGTCTGAGCTGATGTGGAAATTTTCACTTACTCTCCTGGAATTTGCCCAACACTGATGCAGTAGAAAAAGAGAGAGTTTCTTAGTGTCTCCTCTGCATTGCTTGCTATTTAAGCATATATAGTATAATCATTCGTTAAATATTTGAGTGCCAGCTATGTGCCAGACACTTTCAAGATAAGATGCTCCTTGGGGCGCCTGGGTGGCTCAGTGGGTTGATTTCAGCTCAGGTCATGATCTTAATGAGACCGAGACCTCCCTGGCCCCATCCCCTTCTTCCCCTCTCCCTGCCCCCTGTGCCCAGTGGGGAGTCTGCTTGGGATTCTCTCTCTCCCTCTGCCCCTAACCCCCCCACCCCAGAGTAAATCAATCTTTAAAAGAATAAAATAGAACACACTGGATCCTTTCAGGAGTTTTCATGAAACACCAAGAAGGAACCAATGGGGACTCCTGGACAGAATGGGGGGAGGTCCCCACTGCAGGAGGGCAACCAGGTTGTTGTCCCTGCTTCTCCATTGCTAGGGTGAGGTAATTATATGACCTTCAGAACATGTTAGGTCTCAGAAGTTCAACAGCTGGAAAGCTGCTTTTTGTTCCTGAAAGTGCCCCAAGTCCATTGGGTACCCCTGGACCTGTGGAGACATCCATAGGAGACTAAGTTCAATTCCTGGTAGATGCCCTTTATTCCTGTGGTTTCCTCTCTCCATTCCTCTCTCTTTAACTGTTCCCTGTGCAAAGGTGTGGGGAAGCTGGGCGTGATAGATATCCCTAATACCTCCTCCTACTGCAAGGTGCCTCCTCCCACCCACGCAAATTTTTTTTTTTTAAGATTTTATTTATTTGATGGAGCACAATCGAGGGGGAGCAGGAGAGGGGGTGTCTCCCTCAGCAGAGAGCCCAACATGGGTCTCCATCCCAGGACCCTAGGTTGGTGACCTGAGCTGAAGGCAGACACTTAACCAACGGAATCACCCAGATGCCCCTCCCAAAGTGTATCCTGACAAAACGAGCTGGCCTAGGATTCCCCCCGGGGAAGGATAGATACATCCCTGAATTTGGGGAATGTTGATAATGCATGAGAAGCAGACACCCCGGGACTGTTACCTTTCCTGTCTTGGCGCTGGTCCCACTTCCATATGTTCACCCTTGGAAGGAAAAGGCTTCTAGAAAAGCATCCTGGGCTTATAAACCTCCGCCAAGTTTGAGTCTGGGAGGCGCTCGTGGGACATTAAGCCTTGGATTTGGCATCTGGCCAGATGGCAAGCTGGGGCCACTACGAAGGTTGGTAGGCACACTAGGAGCGGGGACGTTGCTTCTGGCGGATGTGACAGAATTGGCCTGAGGGAGAAATGGGAACACTGCAAGCCCTACCAGGAAACCCAACCCGAAACAATTTCGAGCTTATCTAGCTCCTACGGAGACCAGAAGGCGACTGAGGAACGGCGCCGGGCACACCCCAAAGGGAGCCTCTACTTGGCAAGCTGTAGAGCCTAGATTCCCTCCCAAGATCCATGAGACCGGCATGCCTGCTACACTGTGCTTGCTAGGGTCCTCTTGGCCCACGATCTTTGCTTATAGCCACCCGTGTGCCTTCACCTGGATGGTGGGGGGTGGGGAGACGTCGATTTTCAGACTCCGGGGTGGGTAGGAATGGGCATCGAGTTGGCAAGGGCAGGGGCAGCCATTTTGAGACCAGATGAGCACAGAAGGGACCATATTGAGATCTCTGGCTGCCTGGGGCCGCCATTTTAAGCATGGGGCTAGCTCGGAAGCCCTGTACGGTGAAACCCAGTGACGTGGGGCTGCCATATTGGCGCAAGTCCCATGGCGGTGGCCATCTTGGAAAGGGGCCCGCTGTGGGCGCGGCCATCTTAGAAGTAAAACCGGCCCCTTCGCAGAATTGGAGCCGCGCTCCTCCCCTCCGTTCCAGAGTTCCTGCGGTCTGCGAATGCTCTCGGAATCCCTCCCTAGATCTCCCCTCTTCGGTCTGTTTTCATTTTCGCTTGTGTTCAGTGCTTGCGCGCGCGCGTGTGCTTGCGTGTGTGTGTGTGTGTGAGTGCTCTCCATAGCCTCTGAGTGTCTGTTGTAAGTTAGTTCTTCCACTTGAGAACGCACTCTCGCGCCCGCCATCCCCCCAATCCCGGCGATCTCCGATCCTAGACAATGTCTAACCTGATTTGACTGGCCCTATTCCTGGGGTATGCCAAGCCTTCCACCTGCCGCACACACTCTCAGATCTACAGACTGATGATCCTCTCCCCAAGAACGCTAACACAGGAGCTGTCCTCTGAGACTCTGGATGACTTTATTCTTCAAATGGCTTTACCCTTCTCATAGCTCCAGGTGAGACTGAGAGCAAGCACTCGGCCCATCCCTCTCTCCATTGTCTGAGCGGGTCACAGAGAGAAGCCGGCAGGACGCTGGCAGAGTCTGAACGGCCGTTCTGGGGATGGAGCTAAGGGGGCCCTGGGTCAGGGGGTACTTGGGGTCCTCCGCAGTGGGCGAGGAAATGGGGTCGACAGATCGGTGACGGAGACCTTTGTGCTTCAGATAACCTCATGGGGTTGGACAAGGGCTAGGGATGGGAATGCAGGGACCCTCAGGGGCTCACGACAGTTACTGACCCAAGGAAGGGCCTAGGAGAGGGAAAGGTGAAGAGCTTGTGCCGGGGGACAGGGCAACTCAGAGGAGGGCGCAGAAGAACTTCTTCTCCCGGAAGGGGTTCTCCGAAGTGGGCACAGGGGTGATGAGGGGATCCTCACAGGCGTGGGCATCACAGTAAGTCATCAAGTCTGCTGCTGCCTTGGACACCTGGGGCACAGCCAGGAGGGGAATTGTTAGCCAGATCCTCTGAGAAGGAGTGCTGCCTCCCTCCCCAAATGGGTTATCTTTTGCCATCCCTAGGGCTTCTTCAGACAGTATTCGCTTCCCTCATCCCTCACAGAGGCCAGAGGACAGCTGTCCTTACAGAGCCAGAGACTCCTCCCCTGATGGCAGGCAGTCCAGGAAAGAAAACATCTCTTAACCTGAGATTTGGGGACCTACAACACAACTGGGCCAACTAATGGGACCCAGGGTCTGCCCACCTTTATCCGGCACAAGCTGGCTTCAATCTTAAGCTGTTCCACCATCTTGCGGGCTTGCCCAATACTCATAGTGCTGTTCACAGGGGTCTCCCCTTTCATCCTGGAGAAAAGAGAGGGATAGCTCAGACCATGATGTGGGGCGTGAGGGGCCGCATAATCTCATCTGAAGACCCCTCCTTCGTGCTCCTTTCTCATCCATCTTTACAAGACTGGGGTCATGTGTCCCAGTATTTTGTTCCTCTTATCCTCATCCTCTAGCGGTCTTTCCCATCCCTGTCTTCCTGGGCCAAGGAAATGGAGACGGTGGGATGAAATGCCACCCAAACCCCCCTATGGCCTGGGCCACGGATCATTAGACATAAAAATGATTTAAGGCTTTTCAGCCCTTCCAGCCATGTGTGTTCCCAGCTCTGAAAGCCTCAACCAGAAAAAGCCCCGCCCTGATGAGGACATGTAACCCCCCTCTCCCTGCCCCCTTGAACCCCAGGGGGAGAAAAGCAGGATGCTCCCTACTCACCTGAGGCCACAGGCGGCAGCAGCCCTGGGGAGTAGTCAGTGGGGTGCACAAAAGCTGGCTGAGATGGGTGCCCCACCTTGCAGGGAGTTGCAGCTGAAAAGATCTGCGGTAGCAGCAGAAGCAGCTGATACAAAGAAGTCCACTGGGGAGGTCAGGTCAGAGGTCTGCCGGGGGCTAGTCCCAGTTCCGGCAGCTCAGGCACTGCCCAGACGCTGGTACCTGAAGGATGAAGGATGCTAGAAGGAGCTGCTCAGATCCTGGAGCATACCAACTGCCTGGCCAGTGGGGGAGCCTGGCTGGTGACTGCAGCCCCTACGCACACCCCCACTGTGAACTCTCACTAGCTGCCCTCCCCCCATTGCAGGCATTCTGAATCCAGACTAGGACGGACCTGGAAGGAGCAGAGGCCCAGGCCGACTCCCCGCCACCCCCTCAAATGGGGTGGTCTGGACCTGTGACATCGCCTGCTGTGGAGTCTGTACTGGCTGCGGGGGACCCTGCTCATTTGAAAATCTGACATCAGCTGGGCAGTGGCCCCCCTTCTCCCTCCTCCCTCTGCTCTGACATAGCATGTAGTACCTGAATCTTCTTTTCTTTCCCAGGGACCCTCCATTCCCTATATCCAGGAAAATGTGATGAGCTACAGGTATCAGCTTCTAGATCACCAACCACTTCATGTTCTAGCCACGAGTGACTCGAGTGGAAGATCCGGGGGCAACGAGGTTCATTAGGAAGATGCCTAAAGAACAAGGAGAAGAAGCTGGGGGAAAAGAGGTGTGCAGATACCAGATCAAAGAATCGGACAAAGAAGAGGTAGGGGACACTGTGGGGGAAAGTCTTCGGATGTTTCTTGAACTAGATGAGCTTCCAGGGTGGGTTTTGGAGTGTGGGTATTGGTCTGAGAGATTACATCCGAGGCCTGCAGGGTTGTGGCTGGCGCTCCGTGGAATGTGAAGATGGACACAGTATTAACCTTACCCTCTGAGGAATCTTATCTGGGGTGAATAGTCATATACAAAATAGAAGGTACCGTCTGCTAAGATCTAGTGTACATAACGCGCTGCGGGGATCCTGAGGGAGAGTCCAGTTAGGGTCTGAGGAGGTCGGTCGCGTTCTAAAATGCTGGAGACAAAACATGGAGCTGAAATGCTATCACTCTTGTGATAGGGGCCAGCCAGCCGGCGGGCCAGCAGGGCTCTCTGCCTCGGACGCCTACGGGTCCAAGGAGCTGTGGGCGATAAAAGTGGGCGCCAGCTGGCTGCCCGCCCCTCTCCCCCTTTGCGAGGGGTTTAGATGGCCGGTGGTGAAGGTGTGGGTGGAGGGCCGGGACTGCGGCCTCGAGGGGCGGCCTGAGGGGGATGCTGCTGACTCATAGCATGCCCTGGGCCTTATCTTGAGGCCTGGCGGGAGGCGCCTGTCCTCTCGGGTCTGGGAGGGGGACGGCAGCGAGGGGGACGGCAGCGAGGGACAGTACGCAGCGCGCGGAGGTGGGAAACCCGCCGCCTGGCAGGCCCCGCCCCTTGCGCCGGGCCCCGCCCTGGAGTGAGGGCCCGCCCCGCCAGGCAACAAAGGCGGCCGGCGGAAGGGGGCGGGGCTTCCGCGGGAGGCGGAAGTCCCCTCTCGCCGTTGCCCCAGCCTCCGCGAGCTGGTGAGTCTGCAGAGCCCTGGTGGCTGGCGAGCTGCCTGTTTCCTCGCTGGCGCGGTTAGGTCCGGGTTCCCGGCGCCGCGCCCACCGCCAGCCGGAGTCAGGTGCTGGCGGGGAGTGCAGGACGCCCTGCCGGGCGTGGGGCGCGGCCCTGGAGGGGAGCGAGCGCAGCCCTGGAGAAGCGGAGAAACTCGGGAGGCATTTGTGACCGCGCTTGGGCTGTTGGCTTTGAGTGCGGCTGTACGACCTTAGGCAAGTCGCACATTCTGTCGGTGCAGCCACTTCGCGGTGGGGACTCGGTGTCATCGTGTGTGTAAAAGCTTTTTAAAGTGCTCATCCTCTCTGTGTTATGTGTCGTTATGAATGAGTATCCCGGTGGCTGGTCCCAGACTCGGGTGCCCAGAAGACAAGTTCAGCTGAGGTGTTGGGGCAGTGGGGCTAAAGAAAGCACAGTGAAGGAAAAGGGAAGGGATAATTGGTTGAGAAACGCAGTCATCTGGAGAAAAGCCATATGAAAACAAAGGCTTGGCTGTGTTCTGCTCTCTGTAGTTCCTCCAAGCCAGTCCAGTAAGCTCGTCCTTCTTGTCCCCACCTCCCCTGGGAAAAGAGCCATTCTTTCCCCCTCTCTGTCTTTTTCCAGGAACCACCAGCTGCTTCATCCCATGGCCAGGGGTGGCGTCCAGGTGGCAGAGCAGCTAGGAACTCAAGGCCTGAACCTGGGGCCAGACACTCTGCACTCCCTGCCATGGTCAATGACCCACCATTACCTGCCTTACTGTGGGCCCAGGAAGTGGGCCACGTCTTGGCAGGTCGTGCCCGCAAACTGCTGCTACAGTTTGGGGTGCTCTTCTGTACCATCCTCCTCCTGCTCTGGGTGTCTGTTTTCCTCTATGCCTCCTTCTACTATTCCTACATGCCCACAGTCAGCCATCTCAGCCCCGTGCATTTCTACTACAGGTGAGAAGGGTCTTCTACCAAAGTAGAGGGATTCTTTGAGAGAATTGCTGTCAGGGCACTTAGTGCTTATTCAGGTCAACCCCTCATTTACAGAGAAGATTCGAGCCCAGTGTGCTTATATGACTTCTTACCTTTCACAGCCCAAGGCTGAAGAAGCTTTGGGTTGGTAGGGCTCTAAGGTCCTAGTTCTGCCTCTGGTTGCTGATATTTGTTCAAAAGAAGAAGAAGAAAATCCGCCTTTTAGACTGTCACTGTGAGGATCAGTTCTGTTTGGGTTAGGTCAGATCTCTCTTAGGGCCACTGTAGACCTCTTAAGCAACCAGATCCTTTAGGTCATCTCAGAACTCAACTTGGCCTTCAGCAGAGAAGGTATTAGGAAAGCCTCAAGTTGCCTTGTACATTACTTTCTCCCACTCCCGATAATCCCACAGATTATGGAAACACAAGGGAACAGGGTACACAAAATCCCAGAGTCCTGCTTCTTACCTGGGACCTCAGTTCCTTCTGATTTTACAGAGTTTGCCAAATTCTCACCCTTTCGCTTAACAGTGGCAGTAGGACTAGTGAAGAGATGCTGATTGGGGCATTCTTACCAATGGTCCAAAGTTAATTTTTTTTTTTTTCCTGTCTTGAGTCCCTGATTATGAACTGTGCTTTCTAAGTCAAAGCTGCTTAAACTTTCAGGAGGCATGATCTCATGAAAACTCTGGGCCTTCTGCTGTAAAAACATGTTTGCACTGGGGCACCTGGGTGGCTCAGTTGGTAGAGCACATGACTCTGACTCTTGATCTCAGGGTCATGAATTAAGACCCATGTTGGATTGTAGACCTTACTAAAATACACACACACACACACACACACACACACACACAAAGGCATGCCCATGTATAATTTTTGTTACAAGTTGAGATTTGTGAACCTCTTAAAAACCATCTATGGGGGTGCCTGGGTGGCTTAGTCAGTTAAGTGTCTACCTTCAGCTCAGGTCATGATCCTGGAGTTTCAGGATTGAGCCTTGTGTTGGGCTCTGCACTCAGCAGGGAGCCTGCTTCTCTCTCTCCCTCTCGCTTGCTAGCTCTCAAATAAATAAAATCTTTAAAAAAAAAAAAAAAAGAAGAAGAAAAGACCCTCTTTGGATTCTTTGGGATTTTCCAAAACTAGGCTCCAGACCAGAACTACTGAATCTGGAGATAGGACCTAGGAATCTCCTTTTTTTGTTTAATTTTTTATTTAATTTTAAATTTTTTTTTTTTTAATATTTTTTATTTATTTAACAGACAGAGATCACAAGTAGGTGGAGAGGCAGGCAGGGAGAGAGGGGGAAGCAGGCTCCCCGCTGAGCAGAGAGCCCGATGCGGGGCTCGATCCCAGGACTCTGAGACCATGACCTGAGCCGAAGGCAGAGGCTCAACCCACTGAGCCACCCAGGCGCCCCAAATTTTTTTTTTTTTAAAGAGAGTGAGCACACATGTACCCATGAGTTGGTGGGGAGGTCCAGAGGGAGAAAGAGAGAGAGAATCCCAAGCAGGCTCCACACCCAGCAGGGAGCCCGACACAAGGCTTGATCCGAGGACCCCAAGTTCATGACCTGAGCAGAAATCAAGAGTTGGACACTTAACCGATTGAGCCGCCCAGGTGTCCCCAGGAATCTGCATTTTTATCAAGCTCTCCCCAAGTGAATCTTAAACACTTCAATCTGAAATTGTTCAACTAGGTGTTCACTGCGTCCCGTGTAAGACTTTCCACTCTAACGAGAGGAAATGAGCTGAAGTAGCACGAAGAGAATGAAAACTGTTCAGGTGTCTTGAATCTCCTGGCTGCATTTCTTTTCCATCTCTCTCTGACAGAAGGGTACCTGTTCTGGAAGAAGGGATGGGGGACAAGAGGGAGCCCTAGGGGGCCCAGGAGGTGTGCGGACAGGTAAGGCAGACTCTGTAACTCAGTGGACTATCCCCATTCTCATCTAGGACTGACTGTGATTCCTCCTCGTCCTTACTCTGCTCCTTCCCTGTTGCCAATGTCTCGCTGGCTAAGGGTGGACGTGACCGGGTGAGTATGGGAGCAGAAGAGAGGTTTCATGAGAACTTTGGAGACTTGAGATCGGAGGGATTGAGAAAGACCTGGCGAGCAGGACTTGAGCAGTAGAGACTCAGAGGAAGGCTCTCAAGGAGAGGGAGGTTAAAGAAAAAGTCTGAATCGCGTGGATTATTTCCTGCCCAGATGTTAGCAGTGCCCTTCTCAGATCGTTTCAAACAGGCTGTACCTACTAGATGAGATGTGTTCTAGACCTCAGTGAACCTAAGTGAACCAATCAGCTATTTCCCTGGACGAGGCTGCAATCCACCCAGGAGTTTTGAAAGCCTGTATGTGAGGTTAGGAAACTCTTGACAAATGTGTGTGATGTGCATTACAGAGAGCACTGTACCAGGGGATGGGCCAGAGGCCAGTAGGGCTTTAGTGAACCCTGAAGCCCTGGGAGATGCAGAGTGGGAATGCATGTGTTTGTAATAGGCAAGCTGCTGGAGGCTTTCAGAAGAGAGGAGGACCCCAGCATGCTTCAGAGGACCATTGGAGCGTCCATATCGTTTTTGCTCACCAGTTTCTGAGTTGTTAGTCACAACAGAACTCGTAGTAATTAGTGGCCACGTGTACTAAGAATTTTTAAATCCTCTGAAAAGTTTTTTTTTTTTTTTTTTTAAGTGGTCCATGGGAGGACACTTCCTGACACAGGATAGATCTACATGGTCACTCTGGAGGGAGGAGTATGAGCTCTAGCATCTGGGGGGCCCTGGGATTGGTGTTTGGACTGGCCTTGTTTGGCAGTACGAATAGCCGGCTGTGTGTGTCCTGTGACCTCTTCCACTGGACCAGGAGGTAGCCAGACACCATCAAGAAGACTTAGCAGGTCCAATGAGTTGGGACCCCAGTGGACGTTGTCATGTGGAAGATTGGATATTGTGAGGCAGAGAGTCATCGTTTTGTTGTATGTATGTATGTATGTATGTATGTATGTATGTATTTATTTTGAGGTGGGGGGGGCGCTGAGGGAGAGAGAGAGAATCTTAAGCCGGCTCCACGCCCAGCTCAGACCCTGATGAAGGGCCTTGATCTCACCACCCTGAGATGACCTGAGCCGAAATCAAGTCGGGCGCCCCAAGATTTATTGTTTAATCCGGCTACTGAGAAAAGGAGTTTGGAGAGTATTACACAATCTTCAGTGAAGACATTGATTTGATGTACTTTTGTGGCTAAAAATAATAATAGACTGTGTTGAGGAGGAGCTAGAAACAAACCACAGTACGTCTGCCCTGAAATGGTGCCTGCAATTGTGTGGCTGCGTGGTGTGGAGATCCTTCCGGTGACTCGGGGAGCCTGAAACAATTGGGTGTGAAGCTGCCGGATGAGGAAGAGAAAGGTGCGGGGCGAGGGGAGATCCAATGTCAGGGATGCCGATCAGGGTGGTCCCTGATAATTAAAGCAGGTTGATCATTTTGTCTGTTTATAGTGAACCTTTAGGAAGGAAGGAACAGAATAAATAACGTGTATGTATGTTATGTGTAACACTTTGCTAGAAGTAGAAGATGGGTTCCTGTTTTCAAGGAGGTCACAGGATTGATGGAGAAATCGATACATCGCATTAAGTAGCCAAGTGGAAGGTACAGCTTCCGCATTTCAGAAGAATTTGAGGGATCAGTATGAAACTGGTGATGGCGAGGCTCAAAGTGGATCTTAGAAGGAAGGGTGGACATTACGTCGGAATGGGGGAACAGAAGGACATCTGCCCATCCGATGTGCACAAAGGCACGGAGTCATTCACAAGAATCTGGTGGTCAATTTCGTGGGTCCCATTGGAGGCAATGATGTTTTTAGCCAGAATTACTAGTTCAAAAACCTATGTTAAAACAGCTTTGTTGAGAGAAAACTCACATATCATACAATTCACCCGTATAAGATGTATAGTTCAGTCGGAAACTCCTACCGATTAGCTAATAGTCAGTCCCCCCTCCACTTCACCCAGAGAGCTACCTGTGAAAATGTTCCAGGGACACCTGGGTGACTTCGTCAGTTAAGCATCCGACTCTCAATTTCAGCCCTCATGACCCTGAGAAGGGTCGTGAGAGATGGAGCCCCACATCGGCCTCTGTGCATGGTGTGGAACCTGCTTCATCTCTCCTCCTCTCCCTGTGGCCCTCCCCCACCCTAAAAAAATGTTTCCAAGAATTCGGTGAGGCCACCAGCTTCCTCTGGCCTGTTCCAGGGCCTAGAGTCTCATGGAATCCATTTTTTTCAAGAGATAATTCATTCTGGAAATAAGAACCCGTACAAAGAAAGACTCTAATCAGTGATTTTCCACCTTTTACCCTAGTGGTAGTGCTCAAAGCACCCTCAGCCACGTCTGGATTGGGGCGTGGTTCACGAGGGCTTTTTCTTTTTTCTTTGTTTAAAAACAAAAGCTTTACTCTTGCCCCTGTGATTCTTGTGTACCATCCTGAAGGAGGTGATGCTTGGATAAGAATAGTTGAACAAAGAATTAGAAGAATAGAGGAACAGTCAGGAAAAACCTGGGTATGTTTGGTGGCAAATCTTGAACCTTTGGATGTTAATCCCAGTGAAGAAACCTTCCCACTAGGCGTCTCAGGGTTCTATCCACAGAAGCAAGGTAGGGGACGCAGAGTGACATAAAGCTGATGTGGAGCGACAGTGACCGAGAAGGGATGGCTTGGGAGTTGGTGCACACTGCTGTCACTTGGTTAATTAATAATGGAAGGGAAAGCAGGCTGGGCCCAGGGGGATGGCCTCACGGGGACAGAGGGCTGAGTCACACATGGCCCAGTTGGCAACGGGACGGTTCACTTTTGGGAAAAAAAAAAAAAAAAAAAAGGAAAGAAAAAAATGTGACACAGCCTTTCTCAGAACAGAGCTGGTTTCAGCCAAGTCACAGGATGCTGATCTCAGAAGTGGGAGGGTCCCGGCCGCCACAAGGGGGCAGCACCTTCCTGGGATGAGAGACTGAGCGGCCTGCTGCGCTAGGCAAGGGCAGGGGGGCTGGTGGTGCCCGAGTTTGAAGAGGTGAGGGGAGGTGGAACAGAGCACCATCTAAACAAATAAATTTTCTGAAAAGAGATGGGGGCTGCCTTGGGCAGGTGCTGATGTATGGACAGCCGTACCGTGTTACCTTAGAGCTTGAGCTGCCAGAGTCCCGTGTGAATCAAGATCTGGGCATGTTCTTAGTGACCATTTCATGTTACACCAGAGGTGGCCGGATCATCTCCACTTCTTCGCGCTCCGTAAGTGTTCCTGGCCTGTCTGGGAGGGTGCGGAGCTGACAGCAGGGGTCAGAACATCTGGGTAGGGCTTTAGGAGAAAACGTCCCAGCTCAGAGGTCACAGACTCCTCACAACGGGGAAGAGGAGTCAGTCTACCAAGCCAGACAGACACCCCACATATCTGATGAGTGTGTCCAGCTTTCAGAAAGGTCTGAAGAGGGAAGCCAAAATGGGCTTCCTTAGGGCCCCAAAGACCTGGAATCCTCACTCAGAAACATACTAGCTGAGGGACAGCTTCTTTAACCCGTTGGTTACAAAGCACTCCTAACCCGGCATGTTAGTAATAGTCCCGTAGCAAGACTAGACTGGGTTCGATGAAGAAATGTGCAGTGCTTATGCGCCCATAGTGGGTCTTCAGTAAATATTAAGACCCCATTCTTACGTAAACTGTCAACAGAGCCACATGATGAAACAAATCTCTGAATGTCTTCATGGAGAAAAGCTTCCGGTGGCGCCCTGAAACTTAAGTCTATTCTGGGTGGTCGATCTGCCTGGGGGAAGATCAGAGACTGTGTGGGGCTTAACCTGTGCAGGTTCTTAGAAGAGGGGAATGGAGACATGGTCAGGCGGGGCAGACCTGTCACTCGGGCAGCTGGGATGGTTCGGCCAAGGGTGGGGGATCGTGGTAGGAGGTGAAAATGAGAGAGCAGTCGGCTTCACAGACTGCTCAGGAGGCTTGGTTTTGGGGGGTGGGTTGGGCTGTGGAAATCGGGGGGTACCTGTCCCCAGCCTCTCCCTTCTGGCCCCAGCAGGTGATGCTGCATTACCGCTCAGACCTGCTCCAGATGCTTGACACGCTGGTCTTCTCCAGCCTCCTGCTGTTTGGCTTTGCGGAGCAGAAGCAGCTCCTGGAGGTGGAGCTGTACCCGGAGTACAGGGAGAACTCGGTGAGGGGTGAGGGAAGACTAGGGACCACTCTCCTCAGGAGCCCACAGTCCCACCTGCCGAGCCTCTGGGCTCCGTCAGCCACGAAGATGCCGGGAGGGGGCATCGGGTTGGGCTGACCCCCCTCCCCTGTCCCATCCCCAGTACGTGCCGACCACCGGAGCCATCATCGAGATCCACAGCAAGCGCATCCAGATGTACGGGGCCTCGCTCCGCATCCATGCCCACTTCACTGGGCTCAGGTGAGGGCGCGCCGACGCCGGCGCGAGGGGGGCTGTCCTCAAGTGCAACTGGCTTGCGTTTTCCTAGAACCAATTCCTGGGAAGTGAGGAGGCTGGTGCTGTCCGCTAACTGCCACCCACCTCTGGCCCCAGGTACCTGCTGTACAACTTCCCGATGACCTGCGCTTTCATCGGCGTCGCCAGCAACTTCACCTTCCTCAGCGTCATTGTGCTCTTCAGCTACATGCAGTGGGTGTGGGGGAGCATCTGGCCCCGACACCGCTTCTCTTTGCAGGTCACAGAGGACCTCCTTCCCCTCCCCTCCACTCCACTCCATGATCCTCCTCTGAGGAGCGGGCTGGGGCGTGGCCAAGGGCTGGGGAGCAGGGGGGGCCCAGATCACAGTCAGGGAGGCCCAGCCTTGCTGCTCACTAGTTTGTCCCGCACAGGTGAGCGTCCGGAAACGAGGCGGTTCCCAGAAGGCAGTGCAGCAACAGATCTCTGCCCGGCATGCAGGTAAATGTGATGGGAGGCGGGGGCTCCTGTGTGGCCCAAGCTTTAGGCCCTCGCAGCTGAGCTGAGGGGTGGAGGACAGGTTGGAGGAGGTGAGCTTGGCCCAAATAGCTGCGTTGGCCCTACCCCCGCCCTCTACCCACTTTGGAGGCACAGGACCCCAAGGCCAGGAGGAGTCGACCCAGCTGTCAGACATCACAGAGGACAGCGAGAGCCCTGAAGATCCCCCAGGGGCAGGTACTGGCCGCAGCTTGCCCTCCTCCCTCCCTCCCTCCCCCTCCTTCCTCCTTCACTCTCTCAGTCCCCACAAGTCCTCAGTTGTCTCGGTCAGCCTCTTCTAGTCTGACCTCTGCCTTCCCCCTGTGGCTGCAGAGGGCCAGCTCCCTGAGGAGGAGAAAGCAGATCAGCAGCCCTTGAATGGAGAGGAGGAGCTGGAGCCAGAGGCCAGTGATGGTGAGGGGCCCGGGGCACGGAGGTCTGGGCGGAGTGGAGGTGGCTGGTGGGTGGGGAGGAGGTTATATTGGTTGAGGGAGAAGAGCCTTCGGTTACTTAATTTCCCATTGCGGATTTTGTTTCTCCCTCCTCTGGCTCAGGCTCCTGGGAAGACGCAGCTTTGCTGACGGAGGCCAACCTGCCGGCTCCTGCTGCCGCCCTGGTCCCCTCCCCCAACCCTGCCCCGGAGACTCTGGGCAGCTCTGAACCCTCTGGGGACAATCTCCGACAGCGCCCCATCTGCTCTAGTTCCTGAAGAGAACAGGGCAGAGTCCTCACATTCCAGTCCTTTCTCCCCTGACCCCTTCCCCTATCCTGTGGCTCCCCCAATAAACTATTTTCATGCCAGTTGCTTGCCTGACTCCTTGAAATGGATTCAGGGCTACTTGAGAACCCCATGTTCCCCGGGCATCCTCCCCGCCTTCCTGCTTTGGAGGAGACTGTCTTGTTGGGGGGCTGCCTGCCGAGGGGGAAGGCCTCCAGACCTGGACTGCTCTAGGTACAGCTGTCTGCATTCATAGGCCTAGAAAGTCCAAGGAGAGAAAACCCATCCGGCCTACTCCATCCACGTGACTCTGGGGAGGGGGATCATTGCAGGGCGGGTCCGGAGAGCCAGGCCGCATCATTCCGGCCTCTGCACCCCTCCCTTTCTCTGTCCATTGGGAGGCAGAAGACAGGAAATGACTGCCATGGATGTGGTATGATTTTTACCAAAACAGCATTTTGTAGCCCAGGCCCCATGCTGTCACAGCTGTTTTCTTCTCTGATACCAGACAGGTGGCCCTCTCTCCTCTGCGCCCCTCCTCATCCCTCAACATAGCTTGAGCCTTGTGATTCTTGGCTCCTGGCTGTCTTCCACATTCCACTCCCATCTCCGAACCCAGGCATCCTGGCCTCCAGATGAAACAGCTGCTGTGACTCCCGTCCCCCCCCCCGCCCCGCCACCCTAATCCCTGGCCCCGTGACTCAGGCTCTCTGAAGGGACCCGCCGCTTCTTGGCATTCACCGGGAAAGGGGGGTGGAGGGGGCCTGGCGGGGGGGGGGGGGCTAGGTGGTGACATCACAGTGGAAGAGTATAAAAGCTTCGAGCCAAAATAGAATTGAAATTGAGGACACTGACAAAACCTGCCCGCAAGTCTGTGCTCCTGGGGTCGCCCCAGCCTCACGCCCACAGACCACTGGTGGGAGATTTGCACCGCGGTGAGACCTCCCGGCTGGTGAGGTGCTGCTGGGGCCTGGGGTCGCGGGGAGGTGGGGGTGGGCAGGGACTGGAGCTCTTTCAACAGGTGGGGAGGATGCCGAGGTCCTTAAGGTTCCCCCTCTATACCATCTCTTCCGTCTCATTTCTGTCACTTTCGGGTTTTTGTGTGTGTCGCTGACTGATAATTATTTTACCGAGATCTTTTCTTTGGGTGGCTGCTGGGAATTTTTCCACCTTTCTTCTCCAGGCTGAGTAAATCATTTCCTCTTCTTTTCCCCTCCAGAACTTTGCTTATTCATTAACCATTTCTGGGCCTTCACCCATTGCGGGCCACACCCCCATCTCCAGGCAACCCATGTTTGCCCCCCTCCTCCCTGAAACCAAGTCCACAGCTGGTTCAGAAGTGGGTTGACAAATAAGTGTGTCTGCCCCCTTCCCTCCTCTTTTCTGTTCTCTCCTTGGCCCCCGCTGTGTGTCCCTGTCCCCGGAGGTTTCATTGAGGGAGGGGGCCCTAGGAGGCGTGGGGTCTGGGCAGTCTTTACCTCTCCACCTCCCTCCCTTCCAGACTCCATGCCGGGCTCTCCCTGCCTTCTGTGTCTCCTGGCTGTCACCTTCTCCTTAGTTCCCAGAACGCGGCCCTTGGCCCCTCAAGATCTTATGGAAGAGGAGGAAGATGAGACGTCCCGGCCACCCTTGCCGCCTGTCCTCTGTGACTATGACAGCTGCCGGCACCTGCAGGTGCCATGCAAGGAGCTGCAGAGGGCTGGGCCCAGAGCCTGCATGTGCCCTGGGCTCTCCAGCCCTGCTCAGCCGCCTGCCCCGCCGCGCCTGGGAGAAGTGCACGTGGTGGCGGAGGACGGGAGCGCAGTGGTGCACTGGTGTGCTCCCTCCTCACCGGTCCACCAGTACTGGTTGCTGCTTTGGGAAGACAGTGGGGCCACCTGGAAGGGGCCCCCGCTCAACTCCACGGTCCGAAGAGCAGAACTGAAAGGACTGAAGCCCGGGGGAGATTATGTCGTTTGCGTGGTGGCTGCCAACGGGGCTGGAGAAAGCAGTGTGCCTGGTGCAGGTGGGGAGGGCCTCGAGGGAGTGGGTGGCCCGACTTTCGGGCCCTGCGGTAGGCTGGCCGTGCCCCCCAGACCCGTTACCCTGGTGCACACAGCCATCGGGGTGGGCACGGTGCTGGCCCTGCTGACCTGCTTAGCTCTGGTCTGGCATTTCTGCTTGCGTGAGCGCTGGGGCTGCCCCCACCGGCCGGCCTCCCAGCCGGCAGTAGGGCTCTGAAGCAGCCTGGGGGACCTCTTGGGGCCCAGCTGAACCCAGGCTTGGAGAGGAGAGCTTAGCCTGGGTTCCCTGGGAGGAGGTGGCTGCTGCTGCTGCCCTGACCAGCCCTGGGCGGGGGGCCTGTTGGGGGGGATGCGTGGGGAGTAGAAGGCCAGGAGCCTGAGGCCCTATCTGAGTCTCAGTGCTCGGCCCCAAAACTTGTTCAGGTCCCAGACTTTCCGTCCTGCTCCAGCCTCAGGTTCAGAAAGGAGCAGAGGGGGGTGGAAACCTTTTCCTTAAAGGACCAGATGGTAAATAACATAGGCTTTGCAGTTCCAGACGATTAAAATCAAAGATAAAACATAGGTACTTGTATGGCCATGGAACTGCGTAAAAACGTAAAAACCATTCTTAGCTCACGGGCCTTTCCTTTTCGGATCAGGCCCCAGCTGTGTTATGCCTGTTGGCTGCAGTGATCTGATCCCAATCCCCATGATATACCCTCAAAAGTGCCCTGTCACATTGGTGGCTTTGGTGGGCTTTTGAGAACAATTTGGGAGTTTGGGGCAAGACTACTCCCTCTTTTACCTTTCATTTGGATATTGAAGGTGGGCACCCCTGAGTCAGAGTCCACCTGCGTCTGAAGTGGGTGGAAATGAATGACTGACATGGGGTGGAGAACCATGCTGTCTGGGCATTTCCCAGGAAATCCAAGGATTTCCCCCACTTTCCCTCAATCTGTGTGTGTTGTATATCCACTGTACCAACATTAAAGGAAATATAAAAGGAAGACATTTTCATTTTTTCTGACCCTTTTCATTTCCCTGTCCGCATACCTATGTCTCAGAGTAGCGTATACTTTCAAATTTATCTTTAAAATTAACTGGATGGGGCGCCTGGGTGGCTCAGTGGGTTAAAGCCCCTGCCTTCATCTCAGGTCATGATCCCAGGGTCCTGGGATTGAGCCCCGCATCAGGCTCTCTGCTCAGCAGGGAACCTGCTTCCTCTTCTCTCTCTGCCTGCCTCTCTGTCTACTTGTGATCTCTGTCTGTGAAATAAATAAATAAAATATTTAAAAAAATAAAATTAAATTAACTGGATGTAGGGGCGCCTGGGTGACTCAGTCAGTTGAGTGTCTGACTCTTGTTTTCCCGCTCAGGTCATGATCTCAGGGCTGTGAGATCAAGCCCTGCGCCAGGCTCTGAGCTGGGCATGGAGCCTGCCTGAGATTCTTTCTCCCTCTGTCTCTCCCCCATCCCAGGAAATAAATAAAACCTTTAAAAAATAAAAAATAGGGGCGCCTGAGTGGCTCAGTGGGTTAAAGCCTCAGCCTTCGGCTCAGGTCATGATCTCAGGGTCCTGGGGTTGAGCCCCACATGAGGCTCCTTGCTCAGCGGGGAGCTTGCCTCTCCCTCTCTGCCCTACTCCCCTGCTCATGTTTTGTCTCTCTCAAAATGAATAAATTAAAAAAAAATCTTAAAAAAAAAAGACGTGGTACTATACCATTAAGGATTTTTTTTTTTTTAAATCATTGGACCTCAGGATACATTTAGAATATATGTGTTCTCGGGGCGCCTGGTTGGCTCAATGGGTTAAGCCTCTGCCTTCGGCTCAGGTCATGATCTCAGGGTCCTGGGATGGAGCCCAGCGTTGGGCTCTCTGCTCAGCAAGGAGCCTGCTTCCCTCTCTCTCTCTCTGCCTGCCTCTCTGTCTACTTGTGATCTCTCTCTCTCTCAAATAAAATCTTTTAAAAAAAGAATATATGTGTTCTAATACACTCGCCATACTGTAGTGAATACTGTGTCCCTGTTTTATTTGCTTCCTGCATTTCCTCAGCATTTATTCGTTTACAAACGAGGGGCCCCATCTCTCATTATTCAAGACATGCTCTGCGTATTCTCATTAACTCTTCACAGTCTTTCAAAAGATAGGATCACCTGGGAGGAGATGAGAAGTTTGAAGTTCTAAATGGTTTGAAGCTACAGGTAAGGAGTTGAGTCAGGATGCCCAACTCCAAAGCAGGTGCTATTCACTCCACGATGGAAAGGCAACCCAGCATAGTAGTTTAGTGACTGCATACCGCATGGTTGTGGATCCTAGCTTGGCTACTTACCAGCTTTGTGACCTTGTCTCCTTTTTCTGTGTTTCCTGTGACTAATAATAGCATAATCGTATAGATTGTTGTAATGATTGAATAGTCACATAAATCTCTAGTGGAGCTGGGAGGTGGAAAGGGGGTGCTCAAAGCAGAATTCCCTTAGAAAGCAAACCTTGGGTCCCGTCTCCCAAATGACTGGGAGTTAAGAAGTCCCACAGAAGAGGCGGGACATCCCAGGCAAAGGGCTGTTAGGTGCAAAGGGCCTGGAAGAGCAGGAGGGTCTGTTTTGCAATATGCACAAGTTAGCAGCAAATGGTGGGAGATGAAACGGCACACTAGCCCAAGTTTCCATGGTACAGTCTTTTTTTTTTTTTTTTTTTAAGATTTTATTTATTTGACAGAGATCACAAGTAGGCAGAGAGGCAGGCAGAGAGAGAGGAGGAAGGAGGCTCCCCGCTAAGCAGAGAGCCCGATGCGGGGCTCAATCCCAGGACCCCGGGATCACGACCTGAGCAGAAGGCAGAGGCTTTAACCCACTGAGCCGCCCAGGAGCCCCTTCATGGTACAGTCTTGCCAGGCACCGAAGGCAGTGCTTAGTTATTCTCACTTTTCCAGAGAGGGCTCTAAACAAACAATCAAACAACAAATAAAACGGAGGAAACCAGCCTACTAGCACTTAAATTTCATCCTAAGTGACTGAGGTGTCATGGGGAATTTTTAAGCAGGGAGGTGATGACAAGATCAGATAATTGTGTTCTGCAAAGATGCCTTTGTCAGTGGGGCGGA